GGCTTCTCCGATCTATGTTCCATCCAGAGGTTACACTGAGTCCTCATGATATCTACATGGCACCAGGCAATCAGGATGATGAGATCTTCCATCAATGTCAGCGCCATTGGATTGCAGAGGCCATTCGCTATACTCATCGGGAGGCAGTAGAGAAACTATTTACTGCGGAAGCGTGCGTCAAACCAGGCCAGATGAAACCGCGAGCCCATCTTATTGACTGGCCTGAATTCCCAGCAGTTAAACGACTGCAAGCGCAGAAGACAATTCACTACAGCCTTGGGCCAATGTTATACAACGAAGGCACGACAGAGGGGACATACAAGGTCATTCAGAATGTCTTTCTGGAGCAACTGGGGGATGATGATGATACAGACCTTGATGGGCTTTTACAACTGGTTTATGGAGATCAGAAAACAGTGTCACTCCTTCGTGCCGTCAAAAAAGAACGTGCGGAGGCTTCTCGTCTTTTCGATCGTTTCAGCTGGATATTGCCAATCCCCGGACTGTTCCACTGGCGTATGAACTACTTGGATATGATCTTTGAGCTCTATGCTGGGACAGACCACCCTACCGTTGAATCGACGATCCATCATAATAAGGTCTGTCTCGGTTGCGTACAGGGACACAAAAGTCCATTCCACCATAAAGAAGAGGTGGCTACTCGCTCATTTGACGCTCGCGTCACGGCCATGTTCTATCAGTTTGTCCCATTAACAGTCAATTTCGCGGATGCTAAAGATGTGGATGATTGGATTCAAAGCCTCGGAAGGGGTCAATTCCTGGACGTTGTGGATCAGATACGCCAGTCTCTGTTCCATTTTAAAGAGCAGCAGTCTAAGGTTCGTGAACGAGAAGGAGAACCAGTCGACTATGAGTTCTCAGCACATGCGAAATTCCTTCAGCAGATGGAGACTTACAAGTCCTTGAAGCTTGCCATCAAACTTGGTGACATTGGAATTATCCAGCGGATCTTTGCACAATGTTGTCTCCTCTTCCCTGGCACAAAGAAAACCCGATATTCTTTCCTCTCCTTGTATATGACATGGCTCACTCAAACCAAAGCAGCTGATCCCGAGCTGCAGACTGCCATTCTTGCCAACGGACTTGTGAATCTACGGGGTGCGGAGGACGGTTGGTTCGAAATTGATCGACTGAATGAGTTCTTCAATCTTCATATGAAGACACTCATGTCGACTCGACGGACCTCAAATCTGGACATCACTACCATGTTCCGTCGAACTGCTCTCACAGCCAGCTACTGTACTGATCTAAAGGAGCTTCTGGAGGCTACCTTTGGAGAATATAGCAATGGGCGACACCAAAATAAGGATGCTAGCCAGGATGTTCGTCATCTAGCTTATCAGATCTCGAAGTGCATCCAAAAGCAACCAAATGGTCGGACAAGAGGCTTTCAACCATGTGATATACTCACAGAAACAATTGGCGAAAAGCTCTTCAAAGCCGTACAGAACTTCAATAGCCTCGTCGTCAACGGACAGTGGGCACAAGAAGTTGATTTTAGCAAGATGACATCGACTCCTATTGCTGTTCTAGATGAGATTGAAGAGAATGACACATGACACTGAATAGCAGGTTGCTGCCGGGACAGCTTTAGCTATACTTCTCTTCATTCCATTGATAATACTCCCACGCTATATTATAAGGTGACTGACACACATTGATGGAATGCATCAGATGGATTGTTCATCATTCTCTACCAGACCTTAGAACCTAGGTCTTCTCCACCCTTCATCACGCGACGCCCATTTCCTGATACCACACCGAGGGCCTTGCGTTTGGGAACTGGAGTTGCCGAAGGAGGAGGCATGTCCATAAAAGCTTGGGATGGCGTGTTAATATCAACCCACGGAGAGATATTCCGAGATGGAGTTGGTTGACTGGTGCTTTCTGGCGTGACTGCAGAAGACCATGTGAGGTTGCTGCATTCACTCATTTGACTAGAGTCATTCGACACACGCTTCCTCTTTGCAGGGGTTTGAATAGTGGCCATAAAGGCTGCTTGATATGCATTCTTCAAGACATCCACAAGACCCTCAGCAAGCTGATTCGACAAAGCCCATATTCCCAATATTGTCTGAAGATCCTTTGCCTGGAAATATTCCCGCTCCGAATAGGTGGCATTTTCAATATATATCGCAAGATGGACATATTGTTCTTCTGCCAGTATGCTTGAGCAATCAGGTATGAACTTCACTCCGTTCAAAGCGCTTGAAAGGACCTCCTTGGACCAATATTTTAACTGGTTGATGATTATCTCGTCCATCTGTCCTGACCTCGGACCGTGCTCAGTATACAGATAACGAGTTGGATCATTGAGCTGATACTCAGGATTGCAGTTGCTGCAGCACCGGTCACGCCGAGGATTACATCTGAACTCTTCAGGTTCATTGAAGTAGTCCAGGAACCGTTTCCGGAGGCATTCTGTAGGCTCATTGGCAAGGAGATACCAAAATTCAGGCAACACAGCACGTCGCTCTTCATGACTTAAGCGTCCACCTTTCTGTGGTCTCTCAGGGTTTGCTTCTTTGACTTCATCATCTGAATCGGCCAGTGGGTTGTCTTCCGCTAGATCATCATTTTCTGTATGAATCTTGCGTTTCACGGCACGTTTCTTGATACGCCCCTGTATCCACTGATCAACGAGAATAACGATCTTTCCATCCTGTCCAAGGCGAGATGCCCGACCACCGCGTTGCCAGAGCGTTGCTGGTTGTAGGTTTTTGGGGAACCGATACATGACAACTTGATCAATATCCTGGAGGTCCACTCCGAGCGCTAGTGCCTCGGTGGTCATGAGGACACGAAGCTTGGATTGCGGTCCGGGTTTCTGAAGCTCTTTGATCATTGCTTCCTTGTCTCCCTTTGCGGTGTCGCTATGGTAGACCTTCACCGTATCCATTGCCTCTTTGAGGGTATAGTTGCAATGTTGAACACTTGCCCCATCTGGTTGCTTGTTATGCTGCAGCCAATACCGACAATTTTCCATGGCAGTATATGCATCATTCTTCGAGTCAAAGAATACCAATGTCTTTGGGATTCGTGACGGTCGTAAAATGGGCTGACAAGGACCATTGTCAAACAGGAAACGCAAGGCCGTTGCCTTCTTATGCGCGCCTTGTGGGATCCAAGCTGTTTGAATGAGCAACTCTGGACGATTGACGGATGTCCGCAAGATTTCAACATCCTTTGGAAACCCAAGTCCCTCAATAACAACGCGCAATGTATTCATATCAAGCGTAGCAGAGCATGCAAACCAGGGGACGCCACTGCCGAATAGACTTCGCAATTGATGCAATCGCGCATAGTCCGTTCGAAAATCTTTGCCCCATTGAGCCACAAGATGAGCTTCGTCTACAACAACCAGAGCCAGCCGGTCTCGGAAACCTGGATGCATAGCAGTTGAACGGAACTTGTCACTGATTGCAAGCTCTGGACTCACGAGGACATGTGTGAACTTGCCCGCTTGTACCCTGTCAAGAAGTTCGGATGAGAATGTTTCCCTGTTTAGGAAACAAGGTCGCCCTCCAATGTTCTCGATGTAATTGGTCTGCTCAACGCCAATTTGATTCAATGGAAGCACAACAAGGGTGATAGACTTATCAAGCAAGAGTGACACTGCTTGCAATATCATACTCTTCCCAAATGACGTCTTCGCAATCAGGATAAGGTCCTTTCTCAGGTAGATCAATTGTCTCAATGCTTGCAACTGACCCGCACGTGGATAATAGGGATACAGCTCTCGAATTGCTTGTCTGATGGCTTGGTCCTGTTCATCCTTACGCTTCTCAGACGCATCGCGAATCAGTTTCTGCGCTTGAAGAACTGAATTCTTCTCAACTTGTTGTTTCTCCAGCAAGACAGTTGCGCCCTCATTCTCGTACTCCACTCCCAATTCAATAGGCTCTCCAGCCTTTGAAGAAGGTCGATTATTCTCAGAGGCCAACCAGTTATCCAACTGTGTCTGTCCATTTCCGGGGTCGTTCAGTTTCGCGTTATATTTCCGAGGAGGCTTCCGTCGTGATGGGCGTCGATCTGGCATCGTGAGGCGGGTTTGGAGTCAATTCTCACGCGATAGAGTTAATATTGTGGATCAGATGTAGCCACTATACATTAAAATATGTCAATATATGCTTCATGGAGGTTTTGGCGGAATACTTGGGGCATATAATGGCTTTGACAGCTTAAGAAAGGGTTCCTTCGGGTATTTTAAGGACATATTTCTCACCCACCTTTCCAGTTATACATACAATTTTGGTGTCAATGGGTTCAGCTCAGAAAGATGCAGAAGACATCGTCGCCCGATTCTTAATATTCGCGTGGGTGCGCGAGAAACTTGGAAATATTGAAAGACGCGCCTGGAAACTTCGCCATATAAACACGGGCAAAAACCCCGGAAACTTGTATGGTACCACCAAATTCCCAGCTCAGACGTTCCCCAAAAAAGGTGTGTCAGCATCGCTGGAAACAGCAGGCGGTGGATGGCCAAATTCACCGCCTTTTTGGGGGCGGCTGAGGTAACTGAGGTAAAGAAAGTGTGGTAAAACAAAATGTGTTATATTCTGTCAATTTATATGGAAAAAACTGGAATGAAGGGGCCATCCAAGCAAGGGATGTGTTATTATCAAGAATGTGCAATATCCCACCGTGGTATAAGCGAGAGTTGACTGTACACCAAATATTAGCTATTCAATAATAGCTTAGCTATTTACGTACTTTTTGCAATAAAAATCAATAGAATTGAGTAAGAATTGAGTGAGTAATAGCGGTTTTAAAATTACGGGTGGTTTTTGGAATTATATATTTTGGTGGGGTGTCAACAGACTCATGGCCTATGACTGTATTATCACTCGACTGAGGCAGATGCACTTGCACTATGTCGTCCCTTGATCTAGGCTGTATTTGCCCTTGTGGCGCCAGGGAGGTTTGACGTCCCGAGGCTGGCACGGATGCATGTCGCATACTGGCCGACGGTTGGTTTATTAGTCCCACCGTCTCACTCCCCCTGCGGCAGCAGCCGTTGCCACAGGAAAGCTCTGCTGTTTGGCTCCCACGTCTTCTCTGGTCTGCGTGGAAGGAGTGTTGAGGACTTCATGAAATTCTGCATTTGGCGTACCAATGATTCTGCCGTCTTCTAGCAGGATGCGATAGTTTGTATTTCCTTCGTATCCCAGCAGTAGACATGGCCTTGTTCTTGGTCCCGTTAACTTCTTTCTCTGTTTGGGTGGGATTAGATACTCTCCCTTGGATCCTATGACTCTCAGCCGTGACAGGTCAGGCTTGTCACCATACCAAGCTTGATACGGAGTCATGTTGCGTTTGGATGATGGTGATCGATTGGAGAGGAAGGCCGCAGTCCGCGCAATCTCCGGCCAGAATTTGGGCGGTAGTTTCGCATGCGCGAGCGTTGGTCCAACTCGATCGTAAATTGTCCTGTGGGCTCTTTCAGCTACCCCATTCTGCTGGTGCTGGTCGACGCCCGTGACTTCGGCTTGGATTGCCCTTGAGAAGAGGGTAAATTTCATTTCTTCTCCCACTTGTTCCGGGATCCGGTCAAGACGAATCCGCCTGCATTTGCGCTCAGGGCGCTCGTTGTGGTCGAGGAAGTACCGCAAGGACTCAACGACGTATTCTTGCCGTCGTGGTATGGGAACGATCTCAACCCATCCAGTACAGTCATCAACAATCGTCAGCCAGTAGCGGCTGCCATCAAGGCCCTCCTCAAACGGTCCTGCAACATCGATATGCAGGAGCTCCATGGCGTATTTGGCTCTTTTGCCTGCTTCTGAACGGCGATGTGGGGTTTCAATCATTCTTCCCTGGAGGCATGGGTTGCAAGGTTGGCGTGGCGTATCATTCCGAATGCCGTGAGCTTGCTTTTTGAGTCGTTGTATATTCGCACCGCTCATGTGAGCGAGCCTATTGTGCCAGAGTGCCGATTGCGGGCTGACATGGTAGGCTGGAAAAGCAGGCTTGGCCCATAAGTCGAGTGCGTAGACTCCATGATATTGGCTCGCGGTGAACAGATTTTTCCCATCTGATTTATTTCGAATAATGGCGCCATTGCTTGAGAAATCGATCTTTGCTCCTCGATTGAGAAGTTGCAGCACAGATATGAGATTCGCATGCGCAGTTGGGACGAACAGAACATCATCTAATACAAGCCATTTCTTTCTTCCTCGTACATTGCACAGGACATTTGCAATTCCTATACCGGAAGGGGCCGTTGAGGTATCGACGCTTCTCAACGGTGGGCCATCATACTTGTCCATCTTCACGAATCTCGAGGCATTGTTACAGACGTGCTGAGCACACCCACTATCCACGATCCAAGCGTCACGGATTGAAAGGGTTTTTGTGGCCATCATACCGGGAATGTGGCCAAAAGTGGCCACGTTTCCTTCAACTTCGGCTCCGAATGCTGCATTGATATCTTGTTTTGAGACTTGTGTCGCCATAAACGTCGCTCTTTTGGGGTCTCTCGGTCCTTCTGAATCGTTGTCTTCATGGTCCGTACTGGCCCGCCTCTTAGATGGCTTACAAAAGTCCTTATATGCATCGTTGGGTCTTGGCCTGCGTGTTCTTCTCTCCCTTTTCTTGGTCCCTCAGGTTGGGATTCTTCTTGAAACATTGAGGCTCCCTATGATAGGGTTTTCGACAGAAAGTACAGAAAGGGACATTGATGATCTCGATCCGGCATGTTTTCCCATCTGAAGACGGCGTGACTTTCTTGTCTCCAAGGCTTTGGCTGAGTGTGAAGGCAGGAAGCGCATTTGCATCTGCGGATTGGTTGCTCAGCTGTCCTTTCCTATGTTCCTCCTCAATGGCCTTGTTCTCAATGTAGTCGAATGTAGGGGCTGCTTTGGTGATATTTCCGTTCTCGTCTCTATCATTGACAATGTCCATTTGTCTGAAGATATGGTCACGGAAGCTTTCATATTCTGGACCCAAGGCATGGAGGAAAAGAAGGTTCGTTCAATCTCAGAAGTGACACATGCGGGGTCGAGTAAAAGTTTCTCGGCATGGATCTTTCTGATCTCGGCCCCGAGGGCTTGTGCACTCCCACATTTTGCTCGGGTAAGTGACATGTACCTCCTCTGAAGATTGACGTATGTTCCTGAACCTTCCGGCTTGAAGTTGTCTTTCACCGCTTTGATTAGAGTTTGGACTCGAGTGATTTCGAAGGCGTTTATCCGCTGAGCCGCGTTGTGGGTCAGCTTTGCCGCGATCATTGACGAGTAAAATGTCTGGCGGTGAGACCATTGCTGCGCTCCCTCCTCTTCCAGAGGTGGGATCGTTTCATCTTTAGCCACGGGAGATATTCGAAGAAACTCCTTGACTTTCTGGTTCCACTGCGACCAGTCGTTGGCATTATCAAGTGTTGGTATAGCATGGTAAAATGAGCTCAAGCCTATTTGTTCAAATTTATTCGAATCCATCGTGGTGGTATTCAGGGCTCTTCGGTGCTAAAGAATTCGGCACTTGACGAGCCACTTGAGCGAATTGAGTGGACAGAAGGCGTGTAGTCCGATAGTTCAGGAGATCGAGGCTCCAGACCAAATAGTTCGAGACTCGAGGCCTCGCTTGGTTGAGTAGAGTTGACGGAGTGAGAATATTCCGACGAGCCTGGGGTAGGTGTATGCGAAGGGGGAACGTATTCACTGTCCGGTAGGTCGTATGCTTGAGATGATCGCTATACGATTCGAAGAAGTGAGGAAAATGGACGCGGTCGACCATATATTGTGGCTTTCGCTCTGCGAAAGATGTCGGTCTGTTTGGTCGGAGATTGTACCGATTTGAGGTATTGCTATTTGAGGTCGACGGCGTAAGTTCGATCTCGATATTTATGGAGCTAGGGTGAATTGGTCCCCGTTCCGGATTTGAGAACACCGGCTGCGTTTGACTTGGAGAGTTACGTCCTGTGGTGCGCAGGAACTCGGCAATGACGGGCACAGCGGCGAGCGCCCGGCGTGTGCGCTCTTCCGGAGGTAAATGCCTATAGGCCGCGCCAACTGCGTGTTGGGAAAGTAGTGGAAAGTTCACCTTTTGGATTTTTGGAAAAGGCCAATGACGGATGCATCGAAGATAGCACACCAGATTGAGCTCCTTGTCAGTCCATTGGTTATATGGTCCACGCTTTCTTTTCATAAGTTAGAATAGCGGATTGTCCCCCTTTTGAGAAGATCAGGGGTTTTTAGGGAAAAATTAGCATCTCAGCATGCTATAGAGGACAGGTTATTTCATCTGTCCGGGTAATGTGATACGTCTGGAGCGGTGTGATATCTGTAGCTGTGATGCGTCTGTTGTCTGTTGTGAGACATAACTGTTGACTATGATTGGTTTCACAAAAATATAGCGGTGTGATTTTTGCCAGGATTCGTAAGACGAGTCCGCACATTTCATTTTTTTTTTTTTTCATCGTTGGAAACTGTCCTCTTCGTTGAAGTACTAAATGAGCAATATCAATTCAGTCAATAGATGAAGCTATCACTTGATGGGGAAACTTAGGAGTAAGAAGCGATCTTCAATTCGAGGTGAGCAGTGCCGGGCTCATAACCCGTTGATTATTAAGTGATGCTTCAGTGTTCATGTTATTGAGGGAGTTGATTGTGTGTTGTGTTGCATGTTGTCTAAGATACAAGTAGGCTGGTGAACAGGTAAATATGTATGCACGTGATCCCAGCCTCATTATCTCAGCAACCGGGATATTTCAACAGATATCGTACCGGCAATCGGCATCGACAAATTCAAAAGCTGCCGATATCGTATCGTCTGTCGATATCGTATCGTCAATATCGGTATATCGGCAATATCGTCAACAGCCCTAGTCCTGCCATAAGCTTTGACCACCGCGATACTCAACACGGAGACCTATCATTCAGCACTATTGCTTTTGAAATCGAAACAGCAAAACGCGCGCGCAAGGAGGACTCTTTATGCCTTCTTACGTGATTTGAATCTGTCTTATAAGTGGTCCCAACATCAGACAGAATCCAACAAAGAGGCTCATGGGGATACCTTTCAAAGGTATGCTACGGCTTTCTAAGGCATACTAGAGGAAGCCCACGAGAAGAGCAGATCAAGGAAGCATGATCTATGCGGTAAACTGAGTTCTTTGAACTTGAACCAGTGAATACCACCATCTCAGACAACCCATGTCTAGAGTGTGATCTATGTACATGTGTCCGTAGAGCCCCTTTAAGACGATTGACCGCCATATTCCAGCTGATGACATATCTCTCATTGGAGTTCTCCGGCGTCACACCAGTCCTCTCCAAGGACTATGAGCTCTTCCTCGTCGATCTGCCTGGGCACTCTGCGTCCAGAGAGTTCCTGCCCCTCACCCTAGATAACGCCGTCGATGCGCTTGCCCGTCTCATTAAGACGAAAGTTCCAGGCGGCAAGACACATCTCGTCGGCCTCTCGATGGGCGGCTTTATGATTCTGGAACTTGCGCGGCGACATCCCGAGCTCCTGCTCAGCCTGTGGTGCACCGGTTGCGCGCCTAACTATGGCTTTAAACTCTGGCTCTTCTCGCAGCCGCGCCTCCTCACCGGGCTCATCAGATGCATCAGCAGCCTCGCGAACGAGCGCATGTTCTGGCTCTCGCTCGGCGTGAAGCCGGTCCCCGGGCTGCGGGAGCAGTGCCGGAAGAACCAATCCATGGCGCTGCTGACGGCCGGCTTCACCGAGCTCGTCAAGATCACGCGGGAGAGCCTCGCGGAGATCAAGGGCGTCAGGATCGCGATCATCGCGGGTGCAAAGCTAGATAACGTCAGGGATGCGACGGACGCCGGGAAGATACTCGGGAGTGCGAATCCGGAGTGCAAGGGGTTTGTGGTGAGGGAAGCGATTCACTGGTGGGACTTACAGTTTCCAGAGCTATTTGCTCGAGGCATAAGAGCTTGGATCGAGGGTCGCGAGATGCCGAAGGAGTGCGAATTGCTGAGCTGATATAATAGAATCTAATCAAACGAGAAAAACACGCAAGCGTACGCTTTCCCGACTTCTTCCTCTAGTAAGACCTGGCGTTTGGTTGGGGAGCTATTGTGTTCTCCGCCTTCTAGATGCGCTTTTTTGCGGCCTCTATACCGTTCGAACTATTTGCATATATGCGTGAAAATTGCGTATCGATACGTGCATTACAGATAGCGAAGAGGTGAAATAGGATAAAGTGGAAATTGGTGTTCAGCTTCGCCGAGTGTTCAGCTTCCCCATAAATTACGTTAAAATAAACATGCTCAATCCTTCGCAGGTTTTGGAATGACCCCAGGATGAACGTGTTGTACTTTGTGAGGTCTTTCCCATTTACATCCTCTCAATACTTCATCAAACACTGCATTTGGCTCCCCCTTCCCAAGATATCGTTGAACCAAACTTCCAAAATTCGGAAAAAACTTGGCTGAATGAAAACTTCCACCTGAAGCAACTATCAGATTCTTGGTGTCTGGGACTTCGTCTATAATGAAACGTCCATCAACGGTGAGAAGATCACTGGAGTCTTCAGTCATATACCTCGCCAACAAAATTAGGATACTCACGGACAAACCCAACTTTCTATATCTCTATTTTCGAACTGTGGAAACCACTTGTGCAAAACAGCAATGTTTGCACTGGCATCGCGTGCCATCGGATGATCGTGAAGCTTATTCATGCTCTCCACCTCAAACGTGCGTGGTGTCGTCAACTTCAAAAGGTTGTGTCGTTTCGATACTATCACCTCTCCTAGCGGCTGTAAGCGAGCACAGAAAAAATCTAAAGCCTTAACCTTACCTTCATCCCCAACAGACATTGGCATGTCCATGTTCAATGTCTTCATATCAGTATGAGTTAGTCGAAGAATGCCCACAACCAGTCCGATAATCCTAAGGATTCCATCGGGGAACGGTATTTTGGATGCTTCGAGAAGCTGTGGTATCCATGGACCCACGGACACGATAACTTTGTCGGCGAGCATCTCGTATGGCACTTCTGCGTCGACTTCAACGCCTCGGCAACTCCCGTCATCATCCGTTAGAATCCTTCGTACGTCTACTTCTCTGACTTCAACACCAAGGGCTTTGACCTCATCCTTTACAAGCCGGAGCGCGTATGCTGTATCTGCGTATCCAACGGTGCGACTATGCCATAATTCCTCCGTTTCGGACAGTCTGGGAGCTTCGTCCGAGCCGACCATGCTTTGATACTCTTCTATAGAGATTTTGATGTCGCTTGGTGATTTCCTTTTGCTCTGGGCCCATTTCCTCACTCCCGCGACCCATCCGATTTGATGGAAGCATTCGTGATCCTGCCAATGATTCATGCCATCTTGCGCAAGTCGGACGTAAAGTTCATCTGGATAAAGAGTGCGTATGATCTTATTGTGATCTGTGGAAGCCGTCTTCCTCTCCGTACCTGTGAACCAAACAATATGGTCGTTTGGCGACCCGATCTTGAGAGCACGAACTATGGAGGCTCCGAGCAATCCGCCGCCCACGATCACATCGTGCCCGCAGATTTTCGGCATGACCGTTTGATCATGTACGGAAGAAATCGAAAAGAGAATAATAACTGCGGATGATGCAGTTAGCTAATAGTACAGCGAGCTACGTGAGAACTCAGCGACGCTGTAATTCTAAAAGCTACTTCCCATTGGTGTAGCAAGGAAACCATAACTAAAGCTAGTTATAATGACTTACCTTTTGTCCAGGAAAAAGGTAATGAATTTCACTTGAAGTAATGGACTTATTTATGTGGAACTAGCTTGTAAAGATAGATCTTTATATACTGCTGTAGAGAAGATCAAAAAAAAAAGGGACAGAAGGCTGGCGGGGGCCACAAGACAGACCCCAATTATTACAATTTTAGGTGTCGCCATATTTTATGCAAGTGAATGTACTATCTATATCGATATGTTTCATGCACCTCCCAATCTTCCATCTACGCATTTGTATCGGTAAGCACTTTGTCATCGGCTACAGCTTTAAAGTACGCGACAGCAAGAGCAGCCGCAAACTGAATGGCTTCCGGATCACGCTTCTTCGGAACGTGTAGGAAAAGCACTTTCCCTTTTTTGTCTTCATGATGCTCCAAGGCCTCTGCCAGCGAGGAATAGAGCCTAAACTCGCAAAAGTACGACCCCGCATCATCAGAAACGAAGCAGGGCGTATCCTAGGCATGCAGTGAGCCACAGCAGGCGAATATCGGAGCTGATTAGCTACTGGACTCACTCACTGGAAATTGTTTGTGCACCTTCTCCCATGCTGCATGCACGTCGAAGCTTGTCTTCAGCACTTCTGGCAGCCCTTTTTCAATAAACGGATTAGTCCCGAGGTATTTTCCGTCGCTGCCAGGCTTATCGTATACGTCACGGCGAGCCTGCGTCTCCAGTCCGAACGTTTCCTCTCTCAGTTCCATTCCAAGATGCACGACAAAATCGATGTCGATCGTGGTATCTTCGTCCCCTGCGTCCGGCTTTGGAAGGAAGTCTTTCCGCTTTCCAGCCCACACCTTGCGGGAAACGGACCGGACATCTGTGTAAGTATCAAGGCTATCTTGGGCAAGCTTTCGGACGTGTATGTTCTTTTTGCCCTCTCGTGTAATCAATTCCGGCAACGCATCGAGCACCAATCTGGAAGAATTGTAGCCGAAGTCAAGGATTGGCTACAAGAACAATATTCAGTCAAAAATGCTTTTCTGTGTCGCGATACTATGTTTACCTCGTTTCCAGTAACTGCAACATTAATTTCTTGTGCCATCATGTAGCGCGACCAAGAATTAAATGGACTTTTCCCGCTTGTTGTGGCAATGAGATGTCGATGAGATGCGACTCTCGGTGAGATACTGCCGTTCTTTGTCAGAGGGTTTGAGGCTCTAATGGCAGCTAACTTGGCTAGGCCACCATTAGCAATGCGAAACATGTGAATCTGAGACCTGCGTAGGAGCGCGTTTGCAACCCACGCTCAGCTGTACCCGCGACAAATGTGTGTAAGTGCTCAGTAGATTAGGGTTGTAAATTGGTCGAGTCGGGTTGACATTCTGGACCCAACCCAACCCACACAAAGGCCGGAAGGATTACCTATATAAAAGGGTGTAATTACTGAAATTACCACTAACGTATTTCACATACGAGCTGGACACCCAAGCGAGCTGGACACCCCAAAACACCATAGTAAATGCGATATATTCTACACCGATATCTCAACAATCACGTTTTAATTTTATTTCATTATTTGCCGATAGCTGCTGATAAGACTTTCCAACACTCTATATTAAATTTGAAGCAATTTAAAATCTAGATAGTTACCGTATCGAAAATTACATTGCTAGCGGCCAGAAATATATATATCTCAATTACCAAGTTATAGAAATTCTTTAAACTCTTCTTTGATACTAGATACCACTTAAAAAGCATTATCCTCTGAGGGAAAGTCTTTTGTAACCTGCCGTTGTTGTGATACTATGTTGTAATTTACCGCATTTACTATGGTGTTTTGGGGTGTCCAGCTCGCTTGGATGTCCAGCTCGTATGTGAAATACGTTAACGTAGTTCACCAGTGAGCTGCGCACCACTAGTGAGCTGCGCAGTCCAGAACACATAGTAAATGCGATAAATTACAACTTAATATCTCAACAACCCTAGTCTACAGGAATCTTTCCTTGAGCCTAAATACTCTCTATGTAGTGTCTAGCAATTTACCTGAGCTTAAGGAGTTTCTCTGTCATAATTATCAAAATATATTAATATCGAGCTTTTGCGTTCGTAATTTTCGGTAAATTTGGAAATGATAATCACCTAGCCTTTCGATGTCCTTGAAATTGATATACAGTACTAATAAGTCTTATCGATTGTTATCGGTAGGTAACTAGATAGAACAAGTGTGCGGTTGTTAAGATATAAATGTAACATATATCGCATTTACTATGTGTTCCGGACTGCGCAGCTCACTAGTGGTGCGCAGCTCACTGGTGAATTACGTTAACAAGTTTGGGTCTTACATAAGACCCAACACTGCAGGAGCTAAACCTATATAGGCCAAAATCCAACAAAAACCCGACCCGTTTACAACACTACAGCAGATAAATAGGGCGAGGCGCATTCGTGGTCCGTGCCGTGGGAGTAAGGCTCACCAGTCAGAGCAAGCACCAATGGTATCACGTCGATGCCCGAGGAATTGCTCAATCCGTAAGATAATGCCTAACCCCTCAACCCTGTTGTGCATGTCACTGTGGCCCGCATCAGCCGGGCCATGACGCCTTGCTTTGCCTGCTTTGTGAAGAGATGCTCCAGTCTGCGTCCGTGGCAAATATTTCCACCAAGGTGGAACGATGGAGCAACGTGGCACATCGTGAGGGCACCAGTCAGAGCAAGCACCAATGGTATCACGTCGATGCCCGAGGAATTGCTCAATCCGTAAGATAATGCGTAACCCCTCAACCCTGTTGTGCATGTCACTGTGGCCCGCATCAGCCGGGCCATGACGCCTTGCTTTGCCTGCTTTGTGAAGAGATGCTCCAGTCTGCGTCCGTGGCAAATATTTCCACCAAGGTGGAACGATGGAGCAATGTGGCACATCGTGAGGGCAGATGACCTTGCCAACATGTCGCATCTAGGCCAGTTGCCCAATGCGGGGTTCAATATGAAGTATGGCTTAGCGGAAATGAGAAAAGAGAAGGCTGTCTGTAGGATAGGCGGGAGCACGCAATGTATGTGTACATTGCTATCTGTGAGCTGCGTCATCAAGTCATGTGCCTCCTTTGCGACACGATCCCGAGCTGTGGTGCCGATCATTTATTGGTACATTGACAAGAAAGCTCCTTCATTCACTCGTGCTTGTTCCCTGAACTTCGCTTGTAACAGTTGTCTGGTTTTTATTCCGAACTCTCTTCGCTGTGCAGAGTCCTAAACAACGACAATGGCTTCGACCACAATGACCAGCTGTGTGGAGAAGATCCGCAGCAGCATCTTGCACGAGACAATTCAATACAACATAGCCGACAACATCTCCGAAAACTCATCGGACCGCTCTCGAGATTCAAGTGTCGAACCTGTCGACGAAAAACCCATGGAAGCCAACGAGCGCCTGCAACCATGGCACAAGGTTCCTGAGGTCAGCGGCCCAAAAGACAAAGTCTACGTTACAGCAGTTCGCGAAAACATTCGTCTATTTGGCAATCATGTCAATGCTCATTCTTAGAGCAAATTGGTGGAGGTATAAGACGGTTGGCACAGACTACAGTGGACATTCGCTGACGGTTGTAGACAGAATGAAATATTATCCACTCCGAGACTCTCGTTTGATGCTTTGAAATTGCTTTGCAATGATATGACTTATGTTGCTAGACTCTCGTTCAGTTATTTGTATTGTACTTCAGTATGACGAATAATTGTGTGGATTTAACTAGTCGATACTATAACACTCATTACGTCAAAAAGTTCAAAACACACTTCCAGTTGCGAAGGCTGGTTGAATGAGACTTATGATACAATTTACATGTTCAAATAAAAATGGTTTTCTCTGATCAGACTCGTTAAACATGATTCATATGATCCTCACTAAAGCTCATTCCATGCCAGGAGACGCAGCTCTATGCTCTCACGAGGTCGGGCATTTGGTCGAATGTCCCCGTCACGCAGCACCATCGAGCAATGAGGTGCAGAGTCTATTCTGGTGTCAATGTAGGGGCCTAAAGAAGGACGACAGGTTGACTTACATCTTCGACTGTCCGGATGGAATGAATCCCAAATGTTCATGACAATAGAATCATTCTTCGTCTGGTCGCTCATCCAGTACCATTGGTGTCGCTGCCTACGTTTCAGGTACATGCTTTCTTCCACACTATGATCGAGCACTTTTTCAACGACATCCCAATCGGAGTCCTCGACTGTCCGGATATCGCACAGAACCAGTGGATCGCTCTCGACAACATCAACAATGGGACACCAAACGCTATAATTCGGTCAGTAAAATTCCAGTGCATCCCGTGTAGCGGTAGACTAACGTAAGGCCACGAATGCGGTATTTGCTCGTATCATTCCACTTTTCATCTTCTCCAGCGGTCACGCTTGCGAGGACTTTCTTCATGAATCCTGGCGAGCCGTCTGTAAACGTGGTCAGCAAACGTTGCTCATATATTCTGCGGACAAGATATACCCGAGTGGATCAAATGCGAACTGTTGATTTGAGTAGTTCTCAATTCGTTGCCCTCCTTGCCCTTCAGGCTGTAGATGTTCGGCTCAGTGCGAGGATGAGTCGACTTGCTACGCCGAACCTGCATCGGTTAGCACTGACATGGTGTAATGGCAAGCGAGGATGATATACTCTCCAGTCCCAACACATGACTTTTGTGCATCCATATTTCTCTTTGATAAAGTTGAATGTGGAGTCGATATACTTAATTAGCGATTCCTGCTGTACGACGTCACCAAATCCAACATCGTTAGCTGTTTTGATGCCGCATTCCGTTGGGAATGGTCGATGAGCCCATTCAAAGCCGTGCGTCTCGAGACTAGGCTGGTCGGTCGATGGCAGGCGTACATCGTGCAACGCGCAATCGTGAACTATTTCGAGCTTCACATTGGTCTTAGTAATTGTTGGATCAATGTCCTCTGCCCAAATCTCGTATGGAGTCTCCTTTTTATAAAGAGGAAGATCGCATAGATGAGATAGGGATGCGGTCAATGGTCCCTGAGTAGCCATACTGGATGAATGTGGCGACACAATCGAAAGGTTACCTGGCGAGAGTGAGAGCTGCAATCCCGATTACTCCAAGAGCGGGGGATTCGTTGGACCCGGAGAAAAATGCACAAGGTTGTGATTGTGGCATGACACCCTTCACACCCAGAAACTTGGCATGCGGGGGGCCGTAAGTACTTAGTACATGTCCTCATCCTTCGGGCACCAGTTCTGCACCTCTCCAGCCTTTGCATGCAGTGTGGTTAGACAAAGGATCCTGCTTCGCCGGAAATGGCATTAGTGTGTATCGCCTGGTTGATAGACAGAAGTTCTAAGCGGAGAAATTAGCGCGAAGCACAGGGGATACCACGGAGTGCATCCGAACCCCACACCGAAACCGCTGCCACGACAACACGTTCATTGGGAAACTCAACGGCCCCGCCGAGTGTCCTGTATTCCTCTCTAACAGCCTTATGGGTTAATGTATGTCTGAAAAGGCTGTCCATCTATAGCCTGCTAAATGATTAATTGGTTGCCTATCGTACGTAAGTGCCTGGTTCGCACCAACATGGCAACACTTGAAGGCGCGCAGTATGAGAAACCCATCTTCATCACTTAGCCGTGAGTATGGCACTACTAACTGCTGATTACAGGTGCAAAGACTGTGAAGGACTTTGGCAAGAAGCTTTGCACCGTAGTCGTGACATATTGGGGGTTGAAGACTTTGAGTTTGTGCAGAACTTCACCAGCGTTGAGCGACTGCTCGCGGAAGTGCAGACACTGGAGCACAAATATGCCAACAGCTTCGTCCCGCGAATGCTTCGCGGTCTCAAACCTCATTTCTACCGCATGCAATACCTTATCACCTTTCTGATGCTCAGCATCAACTCGAACTCAATCAGCTACGCGTGCGTGTGGGGCGCAACATTCTTATTGTTAGATGTATGTTTGTCCTTAGCGTTCTCGAGAAAAACGTTTTGCTCAATACCAAATATAGTTAGCCACCAAAACCAGATCCGAGGATGCACTGCAAGAAATATCCCATTTTCTGCGCCAGGTTGGCGAGAACTTGCACCTGTTCGAGATATATCGCGAGAAGGTGACAACAGATCCCGAGATCGTTGCTGAATTCTTTGATATATTGGTGCAACTGCTCTTGGATTGTGCCACGGCCATTAAGCATTTTCGTAAGAACGATGCTCCGTTGAAACACGTTGCATGGCCTAGGGTACGTCAAAAGTTCACCACCACGCTCGAAGAACTCGCATCAAAACTCGAACATGTGAGAAAGCTAGTCGAGGCGAGAAACCTCATCCAAGTGAATCAGAATCTGGACAAGCTTGCCATGGGCGACAGTGGACCACACCAGGGACCGCAGCTGCCGTATTATCAACTACCATTTGCAAGAAACCACAACTTCTTCGGGAGATCAAAGATCCTTGAGCAAATTAAGGAGAAATTACGACCAGTCCCACCAACGCGCGGCATGAATTCTATTGCAATTTGGGGTACGGGCGGTATTGGGAAATCGCAGGTCGCGCTTGAATACGCGCACGTCCAAACTGCGGAGCAGGAGGTGCAACTTGTACTCTGGCTCCCCGCCGAAACTGTGAGCGAACTGTCCAATGCCATTGTCGAGGCAGTCACTCAGATAAAGCCGCCGGGTTTTACTGAGGGCGACTCGCCGGACAAAATGCGTTTGGTCTTTTGGAACTGGCTTCAGATCACAGGTTGGTTGCGCAGTGCGTGGCGCTTCTAGAAGAATATACTAAGCATGTTAGATGTGTCTTGGCTGATCGTTTTTGACAACGTGGAATCGAATGAGCTGTTGAATCAACATTGGCCAAAATCTGGCAGTGGTCAAGTTCTCGTGACCTGCCGCAGCGAGCTGATAGCAGCATCTCCCGCAGCTCATCAGCTAGAGGTACAGCCATTCGACGATCATGAAGCCGGTGAATTGCTTCTTCGCCTCGCAGGACGATCTACAGTTGATGCCGCCGAGCGAAACAGCGCGGAGCAGATCGCGGGCCTGCTCGGTGGTCTTCCTCTCGGCATCGACATTATTGCACGGCAAATTCTGGTGAAGAAGAAGTCTATGCAAGAATTCTTACCATATTTCAAAAATAACAAGCCATCCCTCAGAGTTCCGCCACGATATGCACCTGGGAACCCATACTACACAAAAAACTTGGTTACTGTCTGGCAGACGGCCTTTGAAAGTCTTTCTGACGAAGCAAATAAACTTCTGAGTATCATCACGTTCATTGCTCCAGATGGTATTCCTCGCTTCCTTCTGAATCCAAGCGGGAAGGTCAAGAATACCTGGTCCTTCCTGTCTACAAAGTACGTATTCCCCCTCTCGTCATTTCTTTCATCTGCGCTGACCAGCTAGTTACGATGATGCCGAAGAGGAATTGTACTATAAATCGCTGATTCGGATCAATACGGATTCTGGAACGCTCTCTATCCATCGACTCACGCAAGAGGCGTTCAACTACTTTCTTTCACGAGAACAAAAGCAAGAAGCGCTCCTTGTAGCGCTTCAGCTACTCTCACACTCATTTCCAAAGCGTCTACACGGTCGTCATCTGTATCACAGCTGGAATATATGCAGCCAGCTGGTTCATCATGTCGACGCTCTCCAGGAACAGTACGAAGAGCTGAAGGTTGAGGGATTTGACACCCAGGAGCCAAACTTCGCTATCCTGGCTGCGGACGCGAGTTGGTCAGTGGAATTTCGAACGTCTGGTTCTCGGATCTAATTGAAGTTTTTAGGTATTGTGCAGAGTCTTCGACCATTCAGATGGGCGAACGCATTGCCAAACGTGCGATGAACAATTGTAAAGACAGAACTGCGCTCCAATATGCCTACCTGTGCGAGAGCAGTGCCCATATGACTCATCGACGGGGCCGATACCCAGCTTCGCTAGAGTACTCCCAAACGGCGCTAGCCATCCGAGAAGCAGCTGATCAAACGACGGCGAAAGTTCTCGCCGACTCCTACAGCTCTGTCGCTCTGGCTCTGTTTGGGATGTACCAAGGGGACGCTGCTATCCAGAAAGTCAATCGGGCGATCGAGATCGCAAGGGGTGTCTCGGACGAGGAGCGAAAGACATGGAACTATGACAGATATCTCCGTAATCGAGCGCGACCTCAAGTAGCGCTTGGCTTGTTCGATCTCGCCAAGGCTGATCTCGACGAGGCCGAAGCCTTTCAAACCAGTGTGTATGGCGCAAGGAGTCATTTCCACGGAGAGTATGCAACGGAAACCGTTCCAAACGCTTTGAGGCTGCTTTGACTAACTTATATCGTGTAGAACTGCGTATATTCGTGGGAGAATAGCTGAGGCTGTAGGTGAGCTTGATAGTGCATTGTTTTACTTTCGTCTTGCGGAGGAACTTCAATCACCAGGCAAACCAACCCACCAGAGCATCACGGCAGCGAGGTATCATCAAGCGTGCGTACTTATACGACAGGATGGTGATAAGCAGGCGCTTGAGTGCCTGCAACTGGCACTGAAAATCGCTGAATTCAATGAGCCGAAGATGGGCGATGCGGGCGACTCTGCCCGAGTAAAGCTTCGGATCGCTGAGATATTGCAGCGTCAAGGTTCAATTACTGAGTCCGCGACATTCAGGGCAGCTGCGGAAACTACAAAATTGGAGCTGGAGCAGACAGGGGCTTATGCAAAAGCCCCCGATGACAGTCAGTCATGGGATACCTTTTGCGACCTTCTCAATCGATGAAAAAAATATATTCACGAGCTATTAGGTATACTGGTTTTGTTTTAGCTGAGCAGCATACGCCTTCTGCGCAATGCTGACTTGAGCAGCTGATAGTGCAAGACCAATAAATTGAGCAATCAGACCGATGATGCCGAGGATAATGACGGTCCATATCGTATACCAAAGCCTTAGATCGCGACGGTCTCGCCATAATGACGTAAAGCGATTAGGTTGTATCCCATGCATGTAGTCCTGGATGCGCTTCAGGCGGTCCTTGAATATGGGGAAATCGGCCTCCGCATCGTAAGAGTCTCTGACAGAAGCTCCGAGGGAGAACCACCAAGAGTTTGGTAAATTCTTTCCACAGAGCTCGTCCAAATATGGGTCCACAGTAGCCTCGTAGTCGTCCACTGCCAGGGCGGCTCGACTCCGCTCCTGCTGTATATACAGTTTCCGAGCCCTCGAGTCATCCCGAAAGAGTAATCGATATGTCACTTGCATTTCGCCTACAAAGTTTTGAGCACTGAATTTATTTGAAGGCTGTTCGGTCTCCTCGTCCATATTTACAAACATCCTATAGCAGTCAGTATTATGAGATCTGGGAAGTCATTGGATCATGATATCTTACTTGGCTAGTATAGATTCCTCTGATTGGTGCAGTTTACAGAAGGATGGACACCTGAATATACTGACGGATGGTGTGGTCGGATCGAAATCTAGATGTGCACTGATCGAGTCGACCCAGATAAATTCCATGTTTGCGAGTGTCTTCATCACGTGTGCGTTGAGATAGGATACCTGGATCTTGCGCTCCAAGTGGTCTTGGGATCCGTTCCGCTCGTCCACCTTCTGTATCTGTGACCTAATCGCGAACATGCCAGCGCATGCTCGGAGAAGTTCGTCCAATGGTCGCTCGGCCTTCTCTGCCGGCACGCTTGATTTTAGAGACGACTGGCGACTTTGGACAGCGATCTTGAAGTTGTTTGAGCCTGGGGTGCGCGTAAGGCCGTGGGAGGGTTGGTATAGCATCGATATCCAGCCTATAGTGTTGAAAACTAGCCTCCGGGCACTAAGATTCGAAGGAAGATCCTCGTCGTCTTTGAAGACCCGATCGGCCTGTAGTTGCTTGATTAAGCGGACGATAGAGAGACCGCCATGCATGCGAAAGGTATCGGCGACTTTCTGGCCGGTTACGATAGCCTTCAGATAGGATTCGGTTTGCACAGAGACATCATCGGTGACCACGTCATCAAACTCAGCCGGCCAATTGCCACGGACGCATCGTTTGAGCAAGCAGAGGGCGGCTTGAACATTCTCGGGAGAAGCGTGGACATCATTATCGTTGCCCGTGACGGCCTGGAAAAAGTCGACCTCTACCTGCTGCAGCGGAGACGAGGTAGTCGATCGGTTGAACGTAGGGAATTTTCGACGCCGGGAAATGTGCTTGGGCTTATCGTCTGTAACCAGTCAATATCAACGTCAGCACACGGGATGCAAGGTCTGACCTGTAGACATGCCTGCACACCCAGATCCCAACAATCGTTGGGCCTAAGACTTGTTTGTGCGGTGCGACTTAGTTTTATGCTCCCTGCCGTTCATCCTTGCCTAGTAGGCGTGAATTGTGAGGCCAAAGACGGGTTCCAATGCAGGACAGCTGGCCAGCCGAAGCACAGCCTCATCGTTAATGGATAGCACCGTACTCGAAGGTGGTCCGCAAGGCTGCGGGTTGATGGGCGGATTCCAACCCATTTCCGGCGAGGTCGGTTGGCAGGCTACGCCCGAACCCTGCCTCGTGATGACGTGTGACCTCCGCATCACACGCCAAATTTTTACAAGATCAACTGATGGGTGGGCAGGCGGGGCGCCACGGTGCTAATGCCTAGCGCACGGGCCCCCGCAGCGTCTTGTCTCGTATGCGGGTTCGGGGCTTGCAGCTTGCCTGGTGGAATCCGAATAGACCACGGTTTCACCGGCTGCAGGATCCCCTTCCCCCACCAACCACCCCCATTTTGCACACGCACATGCTCGATGACTTCGCGCTGCCTTCTCCATCATTCGCATACGGAGGTCGTGAAGGCGCAGACCGCCCATCACGCCTGCCTCACATTTAACTACAAAAGGCCGCGGAGCGTGGCTCATCTTTGACATACCTCTCAGATGTCTGCCGCTGTACGTCGAGCTCTTCTTCTCGTTGCGTCCGCCGGAGTCGTTGTATTGATCGCGTCGCAGTTCTCTTCGCCGCTCCCTTCCAAGGTCATCAACAGTTTCTCACCAGCCCTTCGGCGTCTACAAGGCATCGCCTCAACGTTCTCTTCGCCCGCTCAGCACGTCATGGCGGGAAATCTGGCTATGAAGACCCCTCTGCTGCGTCTTCGTGATGGTAATAATGTGCCCATGGTCAGCCTGACTTGAAAATCACACGTCAATGTCGCCTCCGCTGACCCCTACTTAGCTTGCTTTCGGTACCGGCACGGCATGGTTCAAGGAGCCAGAAGACCATGACAAGTTTGATAAAGATCTGGTTCTAATGGCCAAGGACGCTCTGGAAGCTGGATTCCGCCACCTTGACTGTGCCGAGATGTACGACAATGAAACCGAGGTCGGCAAGGCCATCAAGGAGAGTGGTATCCCTCGTGAAGAGCTCTTCGTCACAACTAAAGTCGCGGATGGGATCAAAGACGTTCCCAAAGCCATCGATGAGAGCTTGAAGAAACTTCAGCTCGACTATGTTGACCTGTAAGCCCCCAAGGCATAATCGCGGCTTCACAAGTACTCATATTCCACTAGATATCTTGTTCATGAGCCTTGGAATCTTCACACCCCTAAAGATTACCAGAATGTCTGGCGTAGCATGGAGGAGGTCAAGGCTTCGGGCAAAGCCAAATCAATTGGCGTCAGCAATTTTGTGCGTAAAGACCTCGAGATGATTCTCAAGGGCAGCCCGAAGGAGCTTCCCGCTGTGAATCAGCTAGAATATCACCCATACATACAGCGTGAGAACGATGGTGTCCCCTATATTCCTTGGATGCAGGAGCAAGGCATCCAGGTAGAGGCGTTCAAGGGTCTTACTCCACTAGCCCGTTGCCCAGAAGGGCCACTTGTAGGGCCTCTGGAGCGCATGGCCAAGGCTCATAATGTGTCCGACTCTGCTGTCATGCTTCGGTGGTTCCTGCAGCAGAACATCGCTGCTATAACGACCACGCGCAAGAAGGAGCGCCTGCAGGAATACGCAGAGGCCCTGACTTTCGAGCTCACGAAGGACGAGATGGATGAGATTTTCACGGAGGGCAAGAAGCTGTTCAAGCGATTCTACTTCCCAGAACGATACGATCCTGATGATCGATCTTAGGTTATGGCACGACGTGCTCAAAACTCTAGGCAGCAAATTCAAATTTTTCAGGGCAGTCTCTTTCCTTACCAACACATATCAAATTGAGTATTTGTAGCCACAGCGGCACGTACTTTCGTCTTACGCTCGACATCTGAAAGGTAGGCTTCGCAAAGTGATATCGTACATGCTTGGAGAAGTAGTGAATGGCGCGAACGAGGGTAACTGATCCATTGCGAAGGGTAGGCGCTGTTCCCATTGCTACGAATGTAAATTATGTTCATGATTTCCTGTGCCTTGAGGTAGTGCCTCAGGAGCGCCCTGCATGTAGCGCTCGCACTGCTCTGCAGCAGACGGTGTTCCCTAGAGCGTTGAGGAGCAGCCCCTGCTTGTCGCTGCACTAGATTTTGTCTTCGTACCTCCGTGTGGGCTTTTCATGACTAGTAATACCAAAAAATAAAAGTTTGATGCAGCAGCAAGTCTGTGCTACCGCCGGATAGAATTTATTCTTCAAGCCTCGTTTGGACCCGATGGCTCCCGAGTTCGATCGCGAAGTGTCAGTGCTACACTGGATGCCGCTCCCCACACAGATTTTAGCTCTGCGGTTTGTTTTACCAGGAACAACGTGTTTCTAAGAAGCCGTTCCCTTGTCAATTGGCTTCCTATACATTGAATCTCAGGATCCCAGCCGACCTATCCCTACGGACACCCTCTCGATTTCTATCGGTTCGGTACCATCCACCTCGTGGTGGAGGACATTGGGTTTTTCCGAGCACTTTCATACATTGAAATGTTGGTAGAGGCCAGCCGCAAGCGCGAGTGATGGTGCGAAAGCTAGAGGTTCTCTGGAAGCGACAAGTTGGCAAAGATGGTATGTTTCTATCTTGGACAAGTACTTTAGAGTCTGAAAGTCACCTTCACTGACCGAAGCTCTGGCAGAAAATCCACAATGGGTAAATACATGGATGCAAGACCTCTTCAATCGCGACTGGAGATCATTCAAGGTGAGTTTTCTGCTAGTGCAGCTCATCCTAGGCACTGCGATCTGACCGTGCTTCAGATTTTGCGATTCAGCATCTACTGCCCGCGTACTCAATCAAGCCCCCAGGAAAACCTTTCCTACCAGCATAACGCAATGCATTGCTACTTTTATGGCTCGATCAAGATCGAGGAAGAAGTTGCGCGGTATCTCAACAATCAACGCGGAGCCATGGCCGTAGCGGGTGAGTTTCTCAAGTCCAACCTCCATCCACTTTAGTGCGCTGAAAAGCGAAATATTACGGTTACGGTGCTAATAATATACGCAGTATGTTGCAGGTCCGTCAATAAGTGAGGCTGTGACGAAGACTGTACAGCCACACGCAGGAAGGAATCTCCAGCTGAACGTTCTCGACCCCGATATGAGCCCTGCACCGGATGGTGATGAGGATTTGCCCGGCAGCGTCGAGTCTGCAATTGACCACCAGGATCCAAAACACACAGTCTCGGGAGCGGGAGAGGGTAATCGTATCCACCAAGAACGATGAATTCCAGTGGACAACCGTAAGCTACAGTATTCATCGCCCACAGAAATCGATATGGAAACCGGAAAAGTCGAAATGAGCAACCACTCGAAGTGGGTGGAAAATAGATTGGCACAGGGGCGCTGAAAGCCTACCATCACAGTCACCGAACTATGAATCCTACCAGCTAATTCCGCTCCCTAGGAGCCTAGTTGGTTTCAACACTTCAATGAGTTTCCCTTAGGTGCACCGAGTGTGGGATCCGTTCTGCCTGCCTCTAGTGGAGGCCTTTTCCGATTGACGTGGTCTCAGCACAATGGTTGACTTTGCAGTCCGTTGGCAATGATATCTTCTGCCGGCAGTTCATGTATCACAGGGAGGGTGCCATGGAAAGCTTGGAGCCTGGCCTTGTTCGCCACGCAGCCGGTTCGCCTTCGCGAGCAGATCCCTTCTCGAGGTAACATTAATGGGTCTTCTTGGTGCTTGACATGATAGAAAGGCGATTGCCGGCCATGGCAAAGCTGGCAGCGAAGCGTGCTGATCTCGGGTAGACTGGTGTGTGCATTTCGTCCCGATCCAGCACACTCCACAAGTAAACTGCCTTCTTTTCGAGAAGATTTTGGGGGAGGAAAAGATCTCTTGGCTCTATTGCTTAGCACATTAGTAGTATTTGAAACACAAAGATCATGAGCTCCTCATACCTTGCATCCATCCACAACTTAGTGCCAATAAACCAATTCATAATTATGTGCGTAGGGAGATTAGTTGAAGGCTTCCAGGAGCAAGTGATTCTTACTCCTGGAAGCAATCAATAGCGTGCCTGGGAACCATGCCATGGATCCTGGGTTCGAATATGATCCTTGTGACGGTTCATGGATGCTTGGGTTTTACCACTACGCCATCTGGCCAAAAAGGCACAATGTTTGGTCAGCGACCAAACACCCAAGCTACTATATATGCTCGATCTCTGACAAACCAATATGTTGGCCCTGGGAACCTCAAAAGCATTTCTAGGAGCTGTTTATCCCCTAGGAACCACAATTTAGCTCCTGGGGCTGTTCTTAGTTCTAGGAAAACGAGATCTACCCCTGGGATCTTCACGTTACGTTCCTGATTGTATACGAAACTGGCTCTGGGAATACATTGACCAGGTCTGGGAGCTGTGGAGCCCCTGGGAGCTTACTTTAGGGTCCTAGGGTCACTATCTTGCCTTCCGAGATCGCCGAAAGCCCTCACAAAACAGCTTCACCGGACCTGCGCAAAATTCTGCGTAATTCGGTCATTCCTAGAAGGCGAAATCATCGCCCCAGGAACCAACAAGTCATCAACAGGAACGCGGCTTTGATTCCCCGAGGTGGGGATACCAGACCCCAGAAGCTACATCGGGTTTCCTGGGGGCTACGTGGCTCCTAGAGGCTGTTTCTTTGCTCCCAAAAGCGCTTCAGGGGGCCCCGGGAGTAAGAGAACTCCTAGGGTTAAGAGATGAATTCCTACCACTGATGCAACCGTCAACAGGAGCGTGATCGATTCTTGATAATGACGATGAAGATGTCCATGTTTGTATCTGGATACGGCTATGGATATCTGTTCGTTGTTTATACGGACAGAGACGGAAAGTGCGCATAAGCAAGGAAAATCTCCCTTTTCTTAGACTTCAGCCGTGAAAGACATCAACCCTAAGGAAATCGATATCAAACGCATCAAGCCTAGTGGATTTAGTTTCCACCTGATTTCTGGAGGCAGTAATGAGACGGCGTCTGAGATAAAAGCCCTGCTATCTGTAGAGGATTACCGAGTACGGCGAAGCAGAAATACTTACTCTAGTTAAGTTCAAGGTAAAAGAGAATCATGCTCTTACTCATTAATATTAGAACAAGAGCGAGTTATAACAGTATCTGCGACCTTACGAGCTTCAAACCTTCCGAGGACCACAAAGCAGCCAAGGAGGACCTCGCAGGCTCAGCTGGACTAGACGCAATCACGCCGTTCTGAAACTCCCTGTTTATGCACTATATCGTATATTGGTTGCTTTCAACATCACTTTTCACTCCTAAATCTGACATGGATTATGTACATGGCTTGGTCGAGCGGCGAATTGAGGAAATGATAATTTACCCAGCAAAAAAATGCGGCCCTGGCTCTTAAGCGCATTATAATTGGAATTGCGAGGTATTCTTTGCTCTGCACCTTGACTAGCTTTTAGAACTTCCCAGGTCCTAGGTGTCATCAACCAAGGGGGACAAACAACGGTGGCTAAATGAATGCATGGCTTCAACAGGCTCAATTAGGACAGGCACCCGTGCCTTCATTTTCAAAGTTCCCTATTTCCTGCTCTACAGGCGTGAGTGTCGGGTACGGATTTCCACTGAAGCACATTTCTCTTTGTTGCCAGAATAGCAACACCACTAAGTTTTAGACTGGGTCAGAACATGGAATCTGTATTTGAGGTGTCTCGATCTGCTGAAGGACACATACTGTAACCCATCATTAGCAAGAAAGACAATGGTCTTTGACTGAAATTCGCCACGCGTGATTGTATCTCAGTCGCCTACACCAAGGCAAGCATCGTGGCAAACAAGGGCGCTGAGTAGAAATGAACGGAGGATCTGGACCCGACTACTTGAAGCCGGAGATATTCTGCAGGCTCGGTTTCATCCTAGATAATATGTCGCGGATCCAGATCCGCGGCAAGACATGAGGGCGTTGTCGATATACCAGAAAACTTCTGCCAGATAGCGTGAAGGTCAAGATCGAAACCACAGTCACTAATTTTAGCACAAAACACGCATTGAAGAAACATGTACGGACAATACTTGCTCATTTCGTCCATTTAAAATTCAGGATCTGCTGGTGGGAAATTACAAAAGTGTATAAAGTAGCATTTAACGGGTTGGGAGGGACAAGATGCCGCAAGCTGAGCAGAGATCTTATTTATCTTCAATTATAGAAGATCAGGGCACGTTAGGAGGACTTTACGGCCAGATCCTAAGGTCTCGAAAACCAAGTGCTGGAAATATCAACAGCCGTGGAACGTTGACACTTCGTCACAGAACCCGATCAGTTTCATCCGCAATTGCATTCGCATTCTCTATAATCAGCGAAAATAACTGGTAGAGAGCACCAATACATAGCAGAAATATCCAAACGTGTCCTTATCCACGAGCGCCCAACAATACTGAGACCTTATCAGTTCCCATCAACGTGATAGGCTTGAGGATCGCTCGCTTGCAAGGCTGAAACCACACCGTTACAAAGGGCCTGAACTGCTCGTTTTCGATCCCACAATACCAGTTTCTGTTCCTCGCAAAGCTGCAGAAGGATGTCATTGTCGCTTGCTAGCCACTCATTCAACTCTTGAAGCTGTCGCTGCTCATCCTCAAGTCGCATCTTCTCGGCAGATTTGACCACGTAGCATTCCCATAGGCAAAAGTACAGGTCGAGCAGTTTCAGGGCTGGCGTAGCGAGGGCGTCATTGTATTGTAGAATTTTCATAAACTCCGCCATCAGGGCGCCAGGTGTCACTGGGATCTGCAGAGTATTAGCGTATCTGTTCATTTCTTGCCGAAGAGGGTATGGCTAGTGTGCCACTATTATTGTTTTGAGCATAGCATCTTTCTTGTGGGATTGCTATCTCAACGACGCTGCTGTTGGAATCAATAATTTGTGCATGGTCATGGCTGCATCTGCGGCATTGAGGGGATACACAGATGTGGCCAGGGTCGGAGCAGCGACGGATTCCGGCTAGGTCGACAATTATCTTTTACTTTGGGATAGTAAAGCTTATATACGAAGAGCAGGAGCAGCTTCTAATTGGCTTGACTGGCCCTTATCCCCTCACTAACCCGTCGGCTAAGCACCATGGCCTCCACATCCATCATGCAGATCGACTTGTATGAGGTTGCTGCTGGTGACTTGAGACAACCGGCTTGCAGCGGAAGTGTCTGTTTTCTTTGTTAAGATACTGTGGTCTCGCAGTGGTGATATCCGGGTAAATTATCCATATACAAGAAAGATGGCCGAATCACCTCGCCCCTGACTATCTTCATGGCTGGAGATGCGGGGAGCGGGAACGGCCGCGTCGCCCATAAAACAATCGCAACGTGGTCGCCGAAAACGCCTTCGAATTATGTACAATTACAAAAGCAAGCATCCTCGATTGAAGCATTACTAAAAGTAGCGCTCAAAAAGCCCACCGAGCTCGCTTAATTCCGCGATAAATCAGGTCCTTAGAGCGTGTCAAATTACAATGCAATCGGCAGCTTTACTCGAGAAAGAAGTAAGCGAACTACGCGCTAAAAACGAGACGAAGAAGCGAAGAAGGACTAGATCAGATCTACAAGGCAGATATCTTCCGAAGAAGGGCTCTCAGCTTCCTGCATTAATAGCGCAGCCGGAGCATGCAGTTTTAGCACAGGTCTCCTGTGAGGGAATACCGGCTCTGGCACATTTACAGCCACGCAAGAGAGCCTTACCGAAGTGCTGTATATGTGGAATTCAGGGTCATGAATTGACTACATGTCCTAATAGACCTCGAGTTTAGCTGGTTGGATTTAATGGCGTTTTGGTTAGGATAAATGCATTTGAGATTAATAGGTTAGGTGGGGTGTCCAGCTCGTATGTGAAATACGTTACGCCTCGCTGATCGAAGAATTAGGTCCGGATCCGCCCCAAAGGCGGATCCATTCGAGGTCTGAGAATAAGGCAAGTATAACCTGGAACCCTTCTAACCTAACTGTGACCCGTTCGCAGTTTTTAACAGTTGGGCGGAAATCTGACCCCAGTTTTGCTCAGCTGATTTGGGGGGACACTTCGCCCCCTTATTAATGCCGATCTGAAAGGGTATCTACCCACTAACTGGCCCCTTGGAAAAGTTACATTTTTTCAGACCCTCGCGCATGGCAGCATGATTGAGTGCCTACACACTCCATGGTATGTTTTGCGCACTCCAGCAGACGTTGAGTGTCAACGGATTAATTGACTATCTTAAATTGCCTCCGGTTGGTTTGCCTCCGAAGCACCAGCTTATGCTCCCTTAGTATTTAGTTCAGGCTCTAAGATCATGCTCCAAAATTTACAGTGGTTGGTTGGTAGGTTGGTTTCATTTACCCTGACCCTTCGCAAAAAGTTGGATCCCAGATTAGGTGATGTATAGATATTAAGCTGCCACCACCATCACGTTGATCGGTTGACGTTATTTTTCTTTACATGACTCGCCGTTCGCATGCTTGATGCAATCAACAGTCTTCTACTTCCCATGTTCTTCTTCTACCTCTACAACAAGGGTGTGCTCTTTCCTACGTATCCCCTACCCGTCCTGGTGGCTAAGACCTGGCTATTAGACAGGCAGCTTGTTCAGGTTTCTCTGTGTCTCAAGCGGGAGGAGAAAAAGGGAATGCCAGAGCATGCAGCATGGTGGATGAAGAAAGGCCTCTTTATACCTGAGACCAATTGTGACGGCGCATGATTGGACGCTCTCGCAATAGCAGCACTCCAATGCACTAAGCTGTTATAGGTTAAAGACCATTTTATTTTATTGTGAGACTATGCTGTAGCGTTGTGCGCTTCCAGGACAAACTTTTGTGCAGTTTTCTTCACAAAGTTTTAAGTTGAGCTCCATTTCGCTTGGGCATTTCATTCTATATAAAACCTCTCCATGGATGGGAATTTCTGCGCACGCTCAGGTCGAACATGGCCCAAATCAAGTCGATTCCCAATCGTTTAACCACATGGCTAGACTTTATATGTTACCATCAGTCGATTGAATGCCACAAATAATGGGACAAACCGCGGATAGCATTATAAAGAATCTATTAATTTAATAAGAGCCTCCCATCCCAAGAAAATAAGAGCCTGCCAGCTAGACAATTATAATCGTGCACCTCTATATCGTAAACCACCGGTTTGGTATTGGGTAGGCGATCGGAGAGAGATGTCTGTCCGTTTTTGCAACCGCGAAGCTTAGATGATAGGTTCTATTCGGGACTGTTGCGTGGGAGCCCCTTGCGTCGGGCCCACGATATCCCGTGCTGGACATCGCACACAAATATCGCCTGGCCTTCCCCTCCCTCGAAAAGAACATCGCCGTTTCGAGGGAGAGCCGGGCTCTCTCCGCGACGGTTTCTTCAAGAGTTTCCTTTTACAATGGTGCGTCATAGTTCGGCGGCCCCCAGTCTAACCCCTGGGGGACAGACCACCCTGGGCTCCTCGATCTATCCACCAGAGTACATATGGAATTCCCTCTCCGACTCCCAGCGGGACTCATTCATCTCTACTGTGTCCGCGTCCCTTGTTGCGGGCGACGGGCAGCGCAAGCGCCCACGTTTAGACCTCACTGCGGAAGAGGATGCTGACGACGGTAGGGTCCCGTCTCTTGTTTTGCCAGTCCTTCCCCGTTTCCCCGGCCTCGACCGTGCTGCTATTATAGCCGTTTTCGAGCACACCTTCCGACCTAAGAAGGACCTCATAAAACTCCGTAGCCCTGAGTTCAAAGCCTCGGCACCGGATGGCGAGTCTTTCGACTTAAAATCCACATCATCTGGCCTGCAATTCCGCAAGGTAGTCTCAATTAAGGACTGGGGAAATGACGCATCCCTCTGGGCCCATTGCTTTAGCAATTACGTCGCTGTCTGGTGTGATTTCTTCGCTGCTAAGCACCCGTTATGCATCAGTGGAATGGTTCTCTTCCACCGCCGCATTTGTGACCTTGCTAGGGCATATAAATGGCAGGACTGTATCCTGCAAATGGCCCTGGACCACCACCAGATGGTCGTCGATAAAGGCGACCTCACCGTTTCTCTTAGTGATTGGGAAATTGGGAAAGCCCTCGAAAGCTCCTACCTTCGCCCGGACAACGTGCTCCCAGCAAAGACGGCGCCGGCTACCCCAACCACACGGTCAACGCGCTCTACCGCTGCCCGAAATAACGATACTGTCATTTGTGAAAAATTCAACTCTTCTGCTGGCTGCCACTGGCGAACATGTCACCGAAGACACGTCTGCTCTAAGTGCGGCAACGACCATTCCGTGATAAGCTGCAAAGTGAAACCAGTGAGTTAGGAGCACGCCGGGGTCGGCCCTGGTATACGTCAAACCCTGTCGCCACCAACTAGCTGGCCAGCCCCGCGTCCCAACACTTCTATTCAGTTTGAGGTCTTCGACCCTTCCCTCCCGCCTCTGCGTGATTCCGCTTCTCCCTTAATTGCTTCGGCGTGGAAAACCCTCCTCGAACGCTATCCTGGCAATCTAGGGACTATCTGCAGCGGCATCCTTACATTCGGCTGCCGCCTCGGTTGTACGATCCAGCCAAGATACCGTCGAACTCCTAATCACCGCATTGAGGAACACTCTCTTATCACCCAGAAGCTCTCTGATGACCTACGTGCTGGCTAACACCCCTAGATAGGCGTAGTGTAGCCTAGATAGGTTTAGACTACCTGGCTACTACACCACTTTCTCTACCACTTTCTCTTAACTACCCACACCTCCTTCTTAGTATAGGAAGGCGGTATAGATAGTCAAAGATACCCCCCTAAAACTTACACTAACATTTTAGAACAACCTCCTACTACTAATACTAGATAGACTATGCCTAAAATTAACATAGGGATAGGGGAGTATCTTAATTAGAACCTCCTAAATTTTAAAAGGAATGCGACCACTAGAAAGGTAGTAGTAACTAGAAACAGTGAGAGTGTAGAGGGAATTCTAATTTTTGATAGGGTGCACTTAGGCGGCAGAAAGTGTAGAAACCTAAAGAATCAGGGGAGTGTCGGATTAGGGTGTCGGATTAGCAATCTCCTTTATTAGTTATAGGGGGTGTTTTTTCAGTGCTCCTCCCGCCCCACTATTAAGTGCAAACTGGTCAGAGTTACAGTGGCGTTCGTTTAGTCTGAAACACCCCCTTTGATTACAAAACTTTCTGCCACACTTAAACCTCACATTCCTTGCTTAATAGCTAGTATACCACCTGGTCAGCTAAATATAGTAGGCAAAGGCGGTCAAACGGGGTGTTTCAAACTAAACGAACGCCACTATAGGTTAGAAGGGTTCCGTACGAAATAATTTCCTCAGTCAAATGCGATATATAAATACCAAGGTATAGCTCACTCTGCCAACAGTATCCCTTCACTATATCCTTGATCATAGTTTTTCCTTCAACAGCGTTTTTTTTTGATAACTATGCTCCTCCACGCTTCCCTACTATTCCTCAGTACCCTACTTATGGTACAAGGGTCACAAGGGTCACCAATTGACAGCGCTATTGAAGTCGACACAGATTTGCCTTACAACGCTAGCGAAGTGCGGCTTAAACAACCTCTCGATTCGCTATACAAACGATCTGTTGAGACGGATGCTCAATGCGCTTCTTACAATACTCCTAGTCGTCAACTTAGCGCCCGGCAAGCCGTATGTATGCCGGAGGCTGGACCTCCGAACTACTATGTGCAGTGTGTTGATCAAAACGGGATAATAAAACACGTGTGGGCAAAATGTCCCGCTGATTCCACCTGCTACCAATTCCCGCAGGCAGCAACAGAGAAACCGGATATTGGATGTTTGCGTGAAACTCAGGTTGAGAAGGGAATTGGCTCCTCCGGTAATTCTGCAACAATTATTACCCTTGACGGTACCTACTCTTTTGGTGGATCATCGTCCAAAAGAATGAACTTTGATGCGCGTACATTTGATGTCAATGGGAACCCTATTCAGGTTCAGGAAATCGCGCAGTACGTTAATGGCCACTTCGCCGGCAGCCGTGTGCAAACAAACGTTTTCGATAATGATTACCTTATTGGAGAAGGAGATAAGATCCATTTTGAAGCTGAAAGGGGTACCATGGCATACGTCATCCTCCAGTGGACAGCGAAAATTGTTGGATAATTCTTAGTTTCAATTAGTGGTTACTTACCACTAAGGGGCTTATTCATCAAGTGCCCACTTTGTTTATGTTTTTGTATATTATTTTGGTTTACATGACGACTCTGGCTTTGTAACAGCGGAGTATCGAGGACGCACGGACAGCAAAACGCCCGTACGACCTGGGAAAACCCTTCAACGGGCTTTCCCCCCTGATTTTCAGTCCTTACACTCATTCAATTCATTTAGGGCCCCCCTTCCCTAACGTATTCGGTAAGCGAGTCGCCATTGTAAGCGAGCCGCCACCCTGCCTCTACCTATTAATTTTAAATGCATTTATCTCAACCAAAGCGCCATTAAATTCAATAAATTAAACACGAGGTCTATTAGGACAGGCATTTCTCTTATGGCCTAGGTTTCCACATAACCCACACTTCGGTAAGGCCCTCGTACGCGGCTGTAAAAGTGCCGGAGGCGGTCTTGGTTGACGGGGTGTTGGTGCTTCAATTACTGGTTCTTCCACCTGAATAAGCTCGATAGCTTCTGAAACTGATAGGCCCTCTTCTAGAGGTATCTGCCTTGTAGACCGAGTCCGTTTTCGCTTCTTCGTCTCGTTCGCGGCCCGTAATTCGCTTACTTCTTTCTCGAGCAAAGCTGCCGATTGCATCGTAACTTGGCAGGCCTTTAAAACCTGATCTATCGCGGAGTTAAGCGGGCTCGGTGGGCTTTTTGAGCGCTGTTTTAGCAAAGCTTTAATTGACAAAGCTTGTTTTTGTAATTAGACGTAGTTCGACGGCGTTTTTGGCTCCCACTCGCTTCCTCGGCTCGAGGGGGGTGTCGGGGTTCGAAGGCAAATATCGAGCTTCGAGATCACTTGATCGGGATTGTAAGGTATTAAACCGGCGGCGGCGAAGCTATTCTTGATAGTCTCCAATTTAAATGCCTCGATTCGCGTAGACGGGTAGACTTCGAGGAAGTCTAATTTATCGATATGGTTGATTCTAGCCCGTATTTTTGACTCGATAAGCCGACTATACGCGCGCTTTAACACCGCGAAACAGCTAATATCGAGAGGCTGTAAAAGGTGAGACGAGTGCGGAGGCATACAAATTGCGATAATATTGTTCTCTTCGCAAATTTGATCGAACTCCGCCGTTAAATGACTTCCGTGGCCGTTAAGTATCAAAAGTCTATACTTCCCCTTCGTACGCGAAGAAGTAGACGGAATAAAGAGCTTTTTAAGCCACCGAAGACCAATTTCATCAGAGGTCTATCTATTCGGACTAACCTCGAAGCGCCAATCCTCCGGGAGGCCGTCGAACCAAGATTCGATATAGACTTTGCCCTTAAAGATCACGCACGGAGGAAGCGCCCACCCCGAAGCATTTATACACTCAATTGTAGTCACCTACGTACGATTTCTAGGTTATAAAAGTGGTCGTCGACCGTAGTATTCAGCCCTTGTCACGACTTTTGCGGTCGCGATTAAGCCTATTGCAAACCCGGTCTCGTCGAAGTTATAGATATCGTCGGGAATTTAGACATTGACATAGGGTACCCATGGGTAGCATCTGATACCCATACCCTACCCATGGGTATACCCGCATATGGGTAGGCATACCCTACCCGCCCATGGGTATCTATGGGTACCCCATGGGTACCCATAGATACCCATAGACACCTAATTTGGCCTGATTTGGCCTGATTCTCCTGCATAAATCGCTGATTCATCGAAATTAAGTACTGTTATTTACGCCTGTTCTAACCCAAACACGTACTATCGCTACTTTCTCTTTATTCTACCGTGTAATTAAGTGAAATATGCTTATTCCTAAGCTTTTTACTATAAAACTAATCTATTGCATTGAGTTCTCTGATCATTTATTCGGTAAATGACTATGGTTGTAGAAATTTGGCTCTTTATATGTCGGGATATATCCTTCTGTCAGCCGAGGGATCACATCCCTTGCTTGGTATACGCATTCTTGCGCGGAGCTGCGGCTCCGGTGTTGTGACTGCCCAGTATCGGAGCATGGGATTAAGGGATATCTTGGAACCCGACCTGACTGGGAAGATACATCTATCTTATAGGAATCAATTGACTTTTGCTTTGGAAGCATATACAGTCAACTCTCGCTTATACCACGGTGGGATATTGCACATTCTTGATAATAACACATCCCTTGCTTGGATGGCCCCTTCATTCCAGTTTTTTCCATATAAATTGACAGAATATAACACATTTTGTTTTACCACACTTTCTTCCTCTCGAATCTGCTTAGTCAGCGCAATCAACCAATCAGAATGCCTCAATCTACAAGCTCTCCTACCCTCCCGACCCCACCCAAGCGCGTCAGAATGGGACCAAAGCGTACCAAATTGGGTATATCAGACGCGCAGAAACAGGCACTACGGGCATTTTGGTCTAATACTAGCCCAAAGCCCACGCAGACTGCATGTGCTAAGTGGTTTGAGGACCAATTCAAACAAGTGATTGACCGGTCAACCATATCAAGGATCCTTTCATCCAAATACAATTATCTTGATACGGGCCCTGCAGGGGCAAACAAACGATCTTCATCCTCTCATTGGCCATTATTGGACCAAAAGCTATATGACTGGGCAGATAACCATATTGGCAATGGAATACCAATAAATGGCCCTTTGATCCAAACTAAAGCAGCTGAGCTTTGGAGACAAATACCGGAATACAAAGATCGGACCAAACCTCAATTCTCTGAGGGTTGGTTAACTCGCTTCAAACAACGCCACTCTCTTCAATATCATACTTTCCACGGAGAAGCTGCCTCAGTCCCATCCTCGGTACATGATCAGATCAAAAGCACCAAATCGATTTGCAATCAATTCAAACCGTCCGAAATCTACAATATGGATGAAACTGGCCTATTTTGGCGACGTATGCCAAATGGTGGTCTTTCAAAGGGAAAAATTGCTGGCAAAAAGCTTGATAAAACACGAATCACTATTGTTGTTGCATCAAATGCGGATGGTTCCGATCGAGTCCCTTTATGGTTGATTGGCACAGCAAAAACCCCTCGCGCACTCCGGGGGTTAATTTCCGAGCTCTGGGATGTGTTTGGCGTCACAACAAGGCAGCATGGATGCGTCATGACATTATGGAGGACTGGTTGCGATCTTTCTATGGGCGTATTCCCTTAGATAAGAAAGCTTTGCTCCTTTTAGACAATGCTTCACCACATGTTATTGGACTCCAGCGAGCGCCACCACCACCCCGGATTACGGTTGTTTTTTTGCCAGCAAACGCAACTTCAATTTATCAACCCTTGGACCAAGGTATTATCCAAAACTTGAAGCACCATTATCGGAAGAAATGGATGCGCTATATGATTGCTTTTCTTGATCGTGGGATAGACCCAAAACAAAGAATGAGCATTTATTATACTGTTACCTGGGTAACGCAAGTTTGGAGAACAAGTGTATCAGACCAAACGATTATCAATTGCTTTAAACAAAGTACTTTGATTAGTCCAAAGTCTATACCTATACCTGAGTCCGCGCCCGAGTCCGCACCTGAGTCTGCACTATTTTCCGAGCCCGGATTGAGTGATGAGATTGAAAGTCTATATAATCAAGCAATTGATAAGCTTGGTGATAAAGATATTGTGCCATTTGACGAGTTTTTGAACCCTTCGGACGAAGACATGTTAGAAGATGGGACTGAAGGGCGAGATGAGACCAATGAGCAAGATATATATATTGCCCCAACAACCTCAGAAATTCAGGATATTGACATTGATGGGCCCCCACCTGAGCTTCTGTCTAATTCTGCTATATTGGACAGCCTCCAGGATATCCTACTATGGGTTTGTAGCAAAGAAAAGGGTACCTCGGACCATATTAGACAAATTGAGAGCTTAATCAGCGACTTTGGCAGGATTCAGATTGATGAGAAACGTCAGGTGACTTTGGATCAGATGATGGGATGGAAGACTAAATAGGTATTAGGGCTTAGAGTTAGCTTGTCAAATATTATGTCATCCTCTCACCAAAACACAACTCAATTATACCACGTAATTTGGCTTGGATAGTATGCTGTGGTATAAGCGAGAGTTGACTGTAGTAACCTCAACAAGAACACTACAACTACCTATCTCAACACATATTATGCAATTCATATAATTCATATTCGCAATTATTCATGAATATTCATGAATAATCATATTCCTTTTGGGTTAGAGTCTAACCCAAAAGGACGTACACGTGGTATCAGCTACCGACAGGGTGCAACCGGCTAGCTAGTATTTCTACCGACTTTACACTGTGCGTCCATCGATGGAGCGCCCATTTCGCGGTTTAAAACAGCGACTTTGAAGAAAGCTATTTCGAACAGCCACCTGGCGAAGCTACTTTTTCATGCCACAAAAACACTACTTAAAGAAACAGGATATTCTTCGCCATCTTTCAAATGAGATTTAGCAATGAACTCCATTCCGAAATAGCACTCTAGAGCGAGTCTTAGGGCCGGGAAGGCTGGTGAGAAGTGGGTTGATGTAAGGGCCCGGATATCCATGTTCAAGGCTCAACTTTAGTGCAACAGATGCGTCTTACTGACAAGGTAATATATACTGAGGTTTAGAACAAACTGCTCTGGATCCAGTACATCCTAAGATGAGCCACAGTTTTCCATCCTTCCAAGACATTCCGCGCAGCTGTGTTACTCCGAAGAGCGCAAATCCTGAGGCGGGCCACAGTTTTCTGTCTGTGCCCCCGATCCCGAGACTGACCACGAGTTCCCTTCTTCAGTAGGGCCAAGCTCATCACAGGACAGTCCACGATTACCCCTTTCTTCAAGCCATCGCAGGTCAGGCCGTTTCTCCCGATCGAACTCATCGTAGGACGGGCCACGATTTTTCCCCTCTTAAGACAAGCAAGTTCGCTACTCCCGATAGCGCGTATCCTGGGACGGGCCATGGAAACCATACGCTAGCCATACACGAATCGGGCGCCTCGCTATTCGGTAGCACAGGACCTAAGCGATTTCCAAGAGACTAGTTGGGAGGAGACAAAGCTGCTAAGAAAGGAGGTGGGTCACGCCTACGGAAAGTTTACACAATACAGTCAAAGTGGAATTTCAGGTAAGCTGATAATGAGCGTCTCAATGAAGTGGCCGCCCTGTTTATCTTCCTGGGTATCCACAACAAACATCTGCCTTCACCTGAATACACTGCTTTTTTCGAGAAGGAACCTGCCGTTTGGACAGCTTGGATGTTTTCATTAGCACTTACAAGGAATAGAGATAAGTTTTTGAGCACCGGGCTTTTGAAAGGACTTCCATACATGTCAATACATTCGCTTGGATCCGCCCTTCCCTGAATTAAAAGCAATGAGTATCGCTTATGCAGTTTTCTTGCCGCGAGCCATCGCGGCCACTTCAGAGCCGGGAAGACTGAAATCTACAAAGCCGCGTCTCTGGTATAGCGGTGCGCCTTCCTTGCTAGCATCCACATAAGCTGCAACGCCGTCCTTATCAGCCAAATCGCAGCCCCATTTGACAAGCATAGAGCCAGCCCCACGCCGTTGATAATCGTGATGATTGGCGAGGGTATCCAGGTCTTTGTTTCCAAGTCAGTAACAATCCTTTCCAATGTTAATTGTGAGATATATCATCCATACAGTAATGCTTCTCATCGCCCATAACGCGCTTCCTCTCCTTCTCCAGCGCTCTAATGAAGTCCTCGCATTCCTGAAAAGGTGAGTCCGCATGCCAATGCGGAAAGCGACGACCTTGCTCTTCGGGCATGGACAGGTCCCATTTGCCAAAGGCAACTAGCCGCTTGGCTGGTGCGATCGCATCGTCGAGCTGCCGTGCCGCCTCCAGTGAATCCTGCTGGCCATATTTCCCTTCTCCAAGCCCATATCAATGAGTGTACTCGTCTTTGGTACGTTCACCACCCGTAATAGGTCTCATGATATTTCGAAACTTATTAATATACCCACAATTCTTCATGTGCCGGTGACAGAGGGTTAGAGGGTTCCCTCTATTCCAACAATGACTAGATCTTCCCGACTGTCAGATCAACGCATCGACATGTCTTACTGTAATAAATATGCCTATGTAATACTGGCGCCGATATAGATGACTTCGAACTTTCCTATATCCTCGACGCAAGGCCTCTCCCAGCTGAAGAAATTCCTTCGTTTCCAAATTTCGTGAAGATTCCTTCGATTCTCTTAACTTGTCTGCAGACCCTGTAACTCCAGGAGCAGTGGTCCTCCATTTTCTCGACCGTCTATGGTTCCGAAAGTCTGTTCTTCGAGCAACCAATGCGCTACTGATTATCACCGAACAGGGCGAGTAAGAATATTTCGGAAGATACTGATGGCGTACGTTCCAAAAAAAAAAAAAAAAAAAAAAAAAAAATATTAGTAGGAACTGTGCCGCTAAGGTTCCCCTAAGGGTTAATTAGCCCTCTTTCGAAAAGCGCCCCCGGCCGAATAGTATAATATGTCGAAATGCAGCATAGCGGGAACAACTCTTTCTTGGCAAAAACGTTTTCTTGAAATATCTAGCCAATCAGAGGTCTCACGGCCTCGTGAATTAGTTCATCGCAATCGTAACCTCAAGCGCTACGGCCTGATACCCTTTTCATAGGGGAGATGGCAGCGATGGTTGGGACGGGTGCGAACGCACAGATTTTGCCCCCTGACAGGAGAGGAACGCCAAAAACCACGGCCCTCGCGGATCCGCCCCGATCCATGGACGACATCGCGGAAGGGGCCCGCCGGGTGCTTAACCACATCGAGAACAATGGCACAGAGGACCGGTACGTCACTGGATATATTCGTGCCGTCCGCCAGTACGCACTAAACGCCCAACGGGGAGACGGTCAGGGGATGGCCAAGGTGCTTGAGGCGCTGACCAAGATCAACGCCGGCACCGAACGCCTGAACCAGCGAATTAATACCATTGAAAAGACAACGAACACATTATCGACGGCACTATCTACCCCCGCGGCGAACTCTGCGGCAGCGTGGCGCAACTTCCGGGCCAAAGAATGGCGCCGCGACTTGGCTACGGCTGCGGCTCCTATCACCCGGAGCGGCGGCACATCGTCTCTAGGAGTACCGGAAATCGAACTTCGCGAGGACCGAGAGGTCATCGTCAAGGTCGGAACGAACCGCGAGCAAGTCCGTGGATTAACACCAAAAGATTTGGTCGAGAGGGCTGAACGACAGAGGGTATCAAATGCCCGTCAGAAGAATTCAGGGGTACTGGCCGGACAGGCTTCATTTGTCGCTGCTCAAAAATTGCCGTCGGGGGATGTGGCAATGATCGCCAGCAGTGCTGCTGGGGCAGAGGTCCTCCGCAAACATGCTGCGTGGCTGAGAGCCTTTGGACCAGGCTCGGTGATCCAAGAACCGTCATGGGGAGTGGTGGCGTACCATATCCCCGTGAAATCGATGAAGGTTACCCCGGAGACGATGGCTGACGTTGCGGCCGAGCTGCTCGCGCAGAACAACTGGGGCGAAGGCGCTAAGATCCAGTATCTAGGGTGGCTAACCCGTCCGGGGGAGAGGGCGGAGGGCTCCATCCTGATCGAGTTCACCAGCCCAGTCGTGGCTAATCGCGCGATCATCTCGGGAGTCGTGTGGGGGAAGCAAATTCACAATGCATCACGATTCTGTCGTGAGGGGCGGATAAAGCTATGCAGAAAATGCCAAAAGCCGGGGCATATCCAGTCACACTGTTCCAACTTCTTCAAATGCGGTCACTGCGCCAACGGACACCCGACCTGGGAGTGTCCGTCGACGAAGGGGCAAGCGATACCAGTCAAGTGCGCCAATTGTGGCGAAGGGCATCGCCCTACAAGTCGGGAATGTCCGGTGAAGGTTGCAGCGATGAACGAAGCCAAACAAGCGCTGGCCAACTGCCCTGCATATCACCGCGTTCCTATGCACCTCCAAGTGACGGCAAGCACCGGCAACGAAGCACCTTCGACTAGGGCAGACCCCATGGTTGCGAATGGACTCGAAGCGTCGATACACGCTCCGGAGGGGCAACGGGGAGAAGAGCCCCCATGGAACCCCCAGGATGCTGTACTCGACGTGGAGACTGCAGCGATAGAAGTAGAAACATTACCAGAGGAGGTCACTGAACCGACTCAGCCTACTCAGCTCAAAAGAGGCCCTGGCCGCCCAAAGGGCTCAAGAACGAGGCCAAAGAATCCCAAACCAACAGTGATACCGCTGGCATGCCAAGGGTCCACAAGGCTCCAAGCGGCCTCGAAAAGGCGCCGCACAGGCGAGCCGGACGACACCATGGACGAGCAACCAGACGACAATGAATGGCTCAGCATTCAACCCACTCCGGCCGATCTCCCTCAACCTGACACTCAGCAAGATAGCCTAGAACACCGACTTACCCAATTCATCAACGAGGTCACCACTGTCAATGAGGCCGGTAACACGTCCGGGCCTGATGACGAGGGGGAATTGGACCCCGAGAGCCCCGAATACCGCAAATTGGTGATTCTGAAATACACGCAGCGGCAAGCGATACCGATTGGATCATCTCCGCCGCTTTTTCCGACAGATGCACCAACAATCGAAGACCCAAATGATGAAGTATGGCACGAGGCCAGCGAACGAAGCGATGACGAACAAACTCATCAATGAAATCGTTTGAGATTCTTCAATACAACGTACACAAATCGTGGCCAGTGATGGCAACGTTCCTCAGAGACAGAAATGTCCTCGCGGCGGACGTCGTCGCGGTGCAGGAGCCATGGAAGAACGAAATGCAACACACAACGCACCAACCAGCGACGGCAACATTCCAGCTAATTTACCCACCAAAAGCAGCTGCCGACGGAACAACCCAAGGCCAGGACAATCAAGTCCAAGCCTCGGATCTCTCCCAACCGGGCGTATGCCTGTTTGTGTCTAAAAGGCTTGACCCGAGCACTTGGTCGTGTCAACTCGTCTCACAGGACTACCAGTTACTGAAACTTAGAAAGGCTCATCAGGGCAGAGACTGGACAGATCTCTTCATACACAACATATACAATAGGCCGGGCAGCAATACTCTTAGACATCTGAGAAATGAGCTGTCAAAACGACCTCATGGGGAACACATCATCCTTGGAGATATGAACGCGCATCACCCGAGATGGGGAGGAACAGGGACCAGGCCCGATCAGGAGGCCGAGCAACTCCTAGAAATCGCCAATGAATGGGGACTCGAGTTGACGACCCAACAAGGCAGACCTACCTGGTCTCGAAACGATCAGTCGTCGGTGATTGACCTCACCTTCATCACATCCAACCTTGTCAACAGGCTTATCAATTGCGAGAGGGCGGATGACATCGAACACGCATCCGACCATTTCCCGATCAGGACTGTGCTTGATATTATTACACCCATTGCAGTACAACAGAAGAGAAGAAACTGGAACGCAACCGATGATCAGAAACTCATCCAGAAGATCGAAGGAGGTCTACGGACAGGAGGCCTATACCGGGCAAATCCGCAAAGGATAGAAGCCAAATGCCAGGAGCTGATGGGAGCGATCCAAACAGCAATCGAGGAATCAACCCCATGGGCAAAACCATCCGCGTGGTCGAACCCCGACTTTGACGACGAGTGTAAAGTTGCGGTCAAAGAGGTTCGTCGCCTCCGTCGCAAACATACGAGAACTCAAGACCCCTACGACTGGATGTGCTACTCTGAAGCACGCAACAGAAAAACACGACTCGTCAAGAGAACCTTGTCAAGGGCGCACCGGCGCCGAGTCCAGCAGGTCATTGAAGATGGCCCACAGGGTATGTGGCGATTGGCTAAATGGGCAAGAAACCGAGATGGGGCCTACGAGAAGGGTATCACCCCTTCGCTGAAAATACAGGATCCCCAAATGCCTGGAACTCTCGCAGAAACAGTTGATCAAAAGGCAGAGGCATTCCGGATTGCCTTCTTCCCCAAACCGCCGCCAGCCGATCTATCCGACACGGACTCATTCCAGTACCCACAGCAAATCGAGTTTCCAGCAGTCACCGCTCAAGAGATACAGGAGGCGGTGCGAGGGGCGAAAGCAGGGAAAGCACCCGGAGAAGACGGTATACCAAACTCTCTCTGGCACAAGCTTATCGAGATACCGGTGGTTCTAGCAACAGTGGTCCAGTTATTCAACGCATGCATAAACACGGGATACAACCCGTCACATTTCCAGCGCTCAATCACGGTGGTGCTCCGGAAGCAAGGCAAAAGTGACTACCAGCTCGCAAAATCCTACAGACCCGTCGCGTTGCTGAACACGCTCGGAAAGTTTCTGGAGGCAGTTGTCGCGCGACGGATCAGCTACGCAGTAGAAACCAACGGTTTACTCCCACGAAACCATCTAGGCGGGCGAAAGGGCATATCCACCGATCATGCTATCCACACTATCATCGACCGAATCAAGACTGCATGGGGAAAGGGCAAGCCAGTGGTATCTCTGCTGATGCTGGACGTGTCCGGAGCGTACGACAATGTCTCCCATGAACGTCTACTACACAACCTCAAGAAACGTCGCTTGGGACATTTCGTTCCCTGGGTGAGGGCCTTCTTGACCAATCGAAGCACAAGGATCCGTATGCCCGAGGGCACATCCGGTCGAATCCCGACACCTACCGGCATCCCTCAAGGATCACCGATCTCACCCATTCTATATCTCATCTACAACGCAGACCTCGTTGAGAACTGCGGTAACGGTGTGACTAGCAACGGGTGGGTCGACGATGTTTGCTTCATGACAAAGGGAGACAGCGAACGCGAAACCATCAAGAAACTCAGAGCGGCATGCCGCAAAGCCGACCAATGGGCCGAGAAACATGCATCAGTTTTTGACCCGAAGAAGTATGCACTCGTGCATTTTGTAAACACCAGGGAAGTCGACCCACAATACACATCGCTTTCTCTACGAGGACACACGGTGACAGCGACGAGGACGGCTGAGCGGTACCTAGGCTATTGGCTGGATCCGGGTCTGGAATCCCACCATCACCGCGAGAAAGCGGTGGCCAAGGCCGGTGTCTCTCTCCACGCACTACGAAGCCTGGCAGGGTCAACGTGGGGAGCCTCACTCGATGCAATGCGAAAGATCTACCAAGCGGTGATCATCCCGCAAATGCTCTTTGGGGTTTCCGCGTGGTATCAACCTATGCTCGTCAGTCATTCCAAGGCACGCATAATCAGTCGGCCTTTCGTGGCAATCCAGAAGCAGGCAGCATGTCTCATCAGTGGAGCTTTCAGAACTACGGCAGCAGAGGCACTGAATGCAGAGCTTCACCTACCGCCTATTTCTGTTCACATGAATCGACTGGTGAAAGAAACGGCCCTTCGACTACGGACAGGACCAGAGTTCGCTGTCCCGCCAACGATGTTACGTCGCCGACCGGCAGATGAGAGAGACTGGGCTGGATGGTCACCGATGGAGGCGCAAGCTTGGAAGGCGGGCGGATGTCTTATGGCTCCCCCGGATACTTTGACGAGAAAATGGGAGAGTCGAAAGGCATTCGTCCTGGCACCATGGCAAGCGCCACCAGAGGTAATCATCGAGGACAGAGAAACTGCGGTCAACAATCACAACCAGATCCTGATGAAAGACCCAGAAGAAAGACCCTTGATTCTGTACACCGACGGGAGCGGAATTGATGGAAGGATCGGAGCGGCAGCGGTCGTGGACCTTGAGGATCAACATGCTCATAGCCAGATGGGAGATGATGATACGTCCACCGTATATGCGGCAGAACTTCGAGCCATTGAGATGGCACTTGAAATGGTTCTGGAAAGCACAGAGCCATGGGCTAAGCAGGCGGAGAACGGGGTAGTCATCTTTGTAGACAGCCAAGCAGCGCTGAAGGCGCTAAGGCGACCGCGGATGCCGTCAGGACAGGTCTATCTACCAGGATGCCTCGGCCTGATCCAGCGGCTTGCTGGCAGATGCGTCCGGATAGAGCTCAGATGGATTCCTGCGCACCAAGGGGTCATTGGCAATGAGATTGTGGACCAACACGCAAAACAAGCAGCCCAAGAACCGGACGGCCCACAGAACCCTCGCAACCGAGGTATATGCCTCGCAGCCGCGGCGAAACGGCGAATTCGCAGAGAAGCGAAGCTGGAATGGGACAGGACGTGGGCCAAGGAAACGACCAGCCGACCGACGAGACGCCTGATTGAAGCACCAACCAAGAAGACGCTAGAATACTGGTCGGGCCTGCGCAAAGCGACGACATCGATTCTGATGCAGCTTCGTACTGGGCGAATTGGCCTGGGGGCTTACCTGAATCGTATCAACCGACGCGAAACAGCGCGGTGTGACTGCGATCTTGGCAGCCAAACAGTAACACACGTCCTACTGGAATGCCCCTTGCACCAGGACGAGCGAGACTGGATGAGAAGCGCTCTCTCATACCAGGGAGTCGCTCTCCACCGGGACGAGCTCCTCATACGACCGGAGGACCGCACAGTTGTGGCCGAATTCATGGTCAGGACCGGCCTTCTAGGCCAATTTCAGACAGTCGATCCCACGGCTCTAGGCGAGGAGCAGGGGGATGACAAAGGAGCGGAGATAATGACCCCTTAGACAGTGTGACGGAAGAAGAAGGATGGCGCCCGTGAGGAGTGCAGTGCCAGGTCCACTGCATTCCCTTGATCTAAGCGAGCGCGCAAGCGGCAGCCGACAAGACTGAACGGTTGGGGAGAAGTGGACGTCGGAATGGTGTGAAGTGGGCGGAGCCTCCCACCCGTGATCAGGGGTAAATGACGTTCATTTTGGCTTTTTGTTTATCATGTTCGCATCCGTGCATTTCTTTTGTTCAATTTACATCTTTCTATTCGAGGGCGATTGACTAGAAATTCGTACGAGTTTCCAACAGTCGCCCAGTGGGCTGGCGACCACCTTTTTCCAGCTGTCGGCAGGCCTGACAGCACCCCCGCATAGCAGCATATATATAGAGCGAGCTACATCGGGCAAATGAATACATCATCATCATCATCTGTATTAATTATGCAGCTGGTGGAAGCAGTTGAAAACCCCCCTGGCAGAAGGCCTTCGCCACGTTTGCAGCCAAGAACTAGGGCTTTACCAACCTGCGGGCTATGTAAAAACCAGGGCCATAGGAGACATGCATGTCCAGATAAATGATGATTTTTTTAATTTTAATTTAATGGCGTTTGGTTGAGATAAATGCATTTGAAATTAGTAGGTTGGGTTGGGTGGCCCACTCGCTTGTGAAATACGTTAGCGAATGAGGCAAACTAGAAAAAGCAAGTCAGAATGACTAATTTAACAATGAAATATCGAAACAGAACTCACAGGATTTAAGTGAAATTGTATGGTCTGTACAAATAATACCTTCCGGGCGAGAAAACACAGATGGATTATGAAGCACCAGAAAGTTGAGAAATGCCGTCCTTTAAGTACCCATAGAACTGAATGGAGACCCATGTGCAAGATCCAACAGTGAACTGCGCTGCGGCCTGGAACAAAATCCCCCGGTCGCATATCTCCATCTCCATCAAATAGCATCGCTTATTTGCCTGCGTAGAGTTTTTTCACTATCCTCTATTGAAGAAGCCCAGAAAAAGAGTATCTCCCGGTTTGATCGACCCATGAGGGTCGAACTTCCCAAAACTGGAACTCGCTACCTCCACGGAGCCTGCGTCAATGTCCGTTGTAGTCTCTCGGAACGTAATGCCGTACTGGTTCACGCTGCCGTTCACGATCTCAAAGACAACCTCGGTCGCCGATTTCACAATTGCCGTTATAAGAACTGAGCCCATTTTAAGGGTGGGTTCACCAAATTTGGCTGGGGGAAGAGTCCAATATCGGTTGTTCGCCCGAGGCAGAAGGGTGTGCAGTTTTCTAAGTTCCGGGCATGATCAGTTAATATTTCAGGATGTTCCAATGGAGTGCTTACTCAGAATGGCTCTGGACTTCTGGGATCGATCCATTTAGTAGAGCTCTGCTAGGAAGGGATTTTGAAGACACAAAATCCGTGTCCACCGTATCTGACATTCGACGGGAAGCTGGTCCGCATTGCACTATGTTGCAAAATAAGCCAATTGGAAGAACATATGTAAGTTTCATCTCGAAATATTTTAAGTCCAACACGTACGTAACAAAAGCTTGAACCAAAATAAAGGGAGGAAGACATACGAGCCCTATGGACAGTCTGCCTTTATATCAATTTAGAATTCGGGTAAGTAAGTCCATTATTTTGAGCTAATCGAATACGCTGTGTCTCTGTAGCGCAGCGGTTTAGGGTGGCGAAATGTGCCTCCAAATCAGTGCAGCAGGAGTAAGCCAGTACGCGCTACCGCACACATGTATTGTCTGGCAACTATATCCCCACCGTGCCCCATCCTTTCCTTACTGCTCCAGCCTGGTATTGAGTGTATAACTTTATTAACTTTTATTAGTAGGTTCAAACCGGATACCGAATGGGCTTCGAAACGGCTAGCTCGGTTACGATGGGCAAAATCGCGTTGCATACTTGTGAGCCCTTGCACAGCTTGGTCTGGCCTGGGCTATCTGTGAATTAATCTACCTTAGGAGTGGCGAGAGAGTCTCCACTTGAGGTTTTGCAAACGTCCTCTCATTTCACACCCTACAGAATACTCTACATAGCTCCATCATAGATACAAGATCAGCCCAGTACCGCTTCTTTTACTATTCTCTCGGGACACCATATGTCTAGTCTGTATAATGCTCTTGGTACAACCAGCATAGGTCTATGCGTGTCCTGAAATGGGTATCTCATGAGCGCCTAAGATCCCTTCCATCTTCTACCGCTTAAGAACCCTGGGTTCCTCAAAAGCCAGTCATGTGAAGGCATTCTTAAGAGCGATCCGTTTTCGGACTTTTGAGATAAGTGATTGTCTGATTCATTCTTATTAGCTTATTTACAGAAGAGGGGTAGCCCGTCTTTATATCTCCGACCCTAATCCACTCCATAAGCTTAGCCGCCGTGATATTCAACGTGCACCGAGACGGAGGGTGTCCCATGACCTGTCACAGACGGCCCCACCTTCCGTGAACCTTGTCATATACTACCATTTACTACCGCCTTCCCGATTAGCTATACCGCTTAATACTGGCCTTTCATTGGTTGGCAGGCTGGTTGGCGGTTTAGGACCATATGCTTGTTCCTTGGACAATGTTCAATAGTTCATGAAATCCCCCACGCTTCCGGCCCAAACCGAGTGACCTTCAGGCAAAGGACATGCTTAAACTTGGTTTAATAGATTTCAATGACTTCTATGGTCGCAAGTCTACCCATTTAGAAATGTTTAAAGCAATATAAGTCTAGTGTGGCTTTCGATAGCCCAAACAAGTATTACAGTCAACTCTCGCTTATACCACGGTGGGATATTGCACATTCTTGATAATAACACATCCCTTGCTTGGATGGCCCCTTCATTCCAGTTTTTTCCATATAAATTGACAGAATATAACACATTTTGTTTTACCACACTTTCTTCCTCTCGAATCTGCTTAGTCAGCGCAATCAACCAATCAGAATGCCTCAATCTACAAGCTCTCCTACCCTCCCGACCCCACCCAAGCGCGTCAGAATGGGACCAAAGCGTACCAAATTGGGTATATCAGACGCGCAGAAACAGGCACTACGGGCATTTTGGTCTAATACTAGCCCAAAGCCCACGCAGACTGCATGTGCTAAGTGGTTTGAGGACCAATTCAAACAAGTGATTGACCGGTCAACCATATCAAGGATCCTTTCATCCAAATACAATTATCTTGATACGGGCCCTGCAGGGGCAAACAAACGATCTTCATCCTCTCATTGGCCATTATTGGACCAAAAGCTATATGACTGGGCAGATAACCATATTGGCAATGGAATACCAATAAATGGCCCTTTGATCCAAACTAAAGCAGCTGAGCTTTGGAGACAAATACCGGAATACAAAGATCGGACCAAACCTCAATTCTCTGAGGGTTGGTTAACTCGCTTCAAACAACGCCACTCTCTTCAATATCATACTTTCCACGGAGAAGCTGCCTCAGTCCCATCCTCGGTACATGATCAGATCAAAAGCACCAAATCGATTTGCAATCAATTCAAACCGTCCGAAATCTACAATATGGATGAAACTGGCCTATTTTGGCGACGTATGCCAAATGGTGGTCTTTCAAAGGGAAAAATTGCTGGCAAAAAGCTTGATAAAACACGAATCACTATTGTTGTTGCATCAAATGCGGATGGTTCCGATCGAGTCCCTTTATGGTTGATTGGCACAGCAAAAACCCCTCGCGCACTCCGGGGGTTAATTTCCGAGCTCTGGGATGTGTTTGGCGTCACAACAAGGCAGCATGGATGCGTCATGACATTATGGAGGACTGGTTGCGATCTTTCTATGGGCGTATTCCCTTAGATAAGAAAGCTTTGCTCCTTTTAGACAATGCTTCACCACATGTTATTGGACTCCAGCGAGCGCCACCACCACCCCGGATTACGGTTGTTTTTTTGCCAGCAAACGCAACTTCAATTTATCAACCCTTGGACCAAGGTATTATCCAAAACTTGAAGCACCATTATCGGAAGAAATGGATGCGCTATATGATTGCTTTTCTTGATCGTGGGATAGACCCAAAACAAAGAATGAGCATTTATTATACTGTTACCTGGGTAACGCAAGTTTGGAGAACAAGTGTATCAGACCAAACGATTATCAATTGCTTTAAACAAAGTACTTTGATTAGTCCAAAGTCTATACCTATACCTGAGTCCGCGCCCGAGTCCGCACCTGAGTCTGCACTATTTTCCGAGCCCGGATTGAGTGATGAGATTGAAAGTCTATATAATCAAGCAATTGATAAGCTTGGTGATAAAGATATTGTGCCATTTGACGAGTTTTTGAACCCTTCGGACGAAGACATGTTAGAAGATGGGACTGAAGGGCGAGATGAGACCAATGAGCAAGATATATATATTGCCCCAACAACCTCAGAAATTCAGGATATTGACATTGATGGGCCCCCACCTGAGCTTCTGTCTAATTCTGCTATATTGGACAGCCTCCAGGATATCCTACTATGGGTTTGTAGCAAAGAAAAGGGTACCTCGGACCATATTAGACAAATTGAGAGCTTAATCAGCGACTTTGGCAGGATTCAGATTGATGAGAAACGTCAGGTGACTTTGGATCAGATGATGGGATGGAAGACTAAATAGGTATTAGGGCTTAGAGTTAGCTTGTCAAATATTATGTCATCCTCTCACCAAAACACAACTCAATTATACCACGTAATTTGGCTTGGATAGTATGCTGTGGTATAAGCGAGAGTTGACTGTAGTCTGTGTCTTGGCTGAAAATGGTCAGGTAAACCTAAGATATGTCCTTTGAAGCGCCCGGTGCGTTGCATGTCTGCTAAAGCATTCATGATATCAAGCCACTAATGTATTACTACTTCGCCACTACAATAATTACCATTTTCAACCCTCCATTCTAAAAGCTCCATCACTCAACCGATCCGTGCTTAATTTCATTGATTTTTATTGGAAAATTTATGGTAATAGCCCTTTGTTACCCGTACAGTAGCAATGCGACGCGGTATTGAATGAAATCTGCTGTCTTACAGTTAATCCTTTGCAAAAGTCTACCCTGGGCACTAATCGATCCTAAAGCTTTGCCGTTTGCTCACATCATCAGCTTGCGTGTTGTTCCAGTTGGGGACCGTATCCCAAGATTGGACTTTTGGTCAAATTACGAACAATGAAGTGATCGCAACTTTCCCATTACCCTTCAATTTATCATTTAAGCCACCGTAGGCGACTTAACCTTGTGAAAGGCTCTCATCATGTTCGAATTTAGAGGGCCATTGGTTATATGCGAGACATATTTGTCCCATAGCTTCGCCATTCCGCAAGATTAAAGCTAACTTATTTGGCACTTGCATCGAAGTCTCGATGATCGATTACCTCTATCACAAGAGCGACATGATAAGGACACGCAAAAACGACCACGACGATACCCTCGCATAACCTCTCGAAAGATAGCTTCTGTAGCCCATGCAGGCCCCTCGTCCGCAAAAATAGCGTCAAGAAGGGGTTGGCTGTCCAGAAGCCTGTCCAATTATGACTTATAGCCTTTACCTAACTGTACAGCCACAGTGATTGCTTCATACAACTCGCTCCAATCAACATTAGTATTGATGACTCTTTTAAAAAGCGTGCGGAGGATAGGCTCCCTAAGATCCGTCCTACTCATACATGCAAGCCATATAGCGCTGTCATGAGTATGTTTTTCCACATAATCATTCGCTTTTTTTGCCAGTAGCAACTGGACAACTTGCAAGTTTCCTCTTTCTGCGGCGGCGGCGAGCGGACTCCGGAAATCGTCACTTACTCCGTATCGGAAGTTCACGCTGGCTGAATTATAGGGCTGTTCCCGATATCGGTTTTTACCGATAATTCCGATACAAACCTGTACCGATATTATCGGCCGTTAATTATCGGTATAGGTTTTTAGTAGCCGATAAAAAAACCGATAACTTTGAGAAGTTGTTAGTAGTAGCCGATAATTTATCGGTTTTTTATCGGCTACTAAAAACCTGCGCCGATAATATCGGTAGACCTGTAAACTAGCCTAATTAGGCTTGTTTATAACTAGTTACTGCATGCATACATGTATATATATATATATATCATCCATGCATGTATTGCCTCTCTTGAATAGTCCAACAATCTTAGATTCTTAATCCTACTCTGCTCCTAGCTACTGCAATAACCAACTGTAACTAATCAATTAATAAATTCATTCAACGAACTAACCAAACTAAGCAATAAATTCAACTAGTTAACTAAACAATATCTTTCATCAGCATCAACATCCTCATAGTATCTGCCCCTAAACTATGCCTTCGAACTCCCAAAAGATCTCTCCCTCCACTAAATAATCTCTCAACTGATACCTCTGAAGCTGGGATCGCAAGAAATTCCCTTGCAGCCTCTGCCATTTGAGGGTATTCGCCCTTATGGGTACGCCACCAAT